GGCAATAGCGCCTGAAACCATATGCCACATTGTCGCATGGTGGGGCATTCTACAGTTTATTCTGGGGGCACATACACTGTTCGACATTGAAAATGCAACACCAAGAAGGAGTGCTTAGAAAGTGATGAAATTTAAAAAAAGGACAGAGACAGCATCAGCAATAAGTGATCTTTATTTCAAATAATAGAATACATAGCGAGAACGGCGTCGGCTCAGTAGGATGTAGAACCATTGCAGAGAGCGATGCACGAAGAAACACGTCTAGGAATAGAGTCAGTAAGAGTGCAGATAGTGTCCTGAGGGATGGCTCTCTATTCTCTTTCAACCATTTGCCACAGTTCGTCTTCTGAACGAGGCAGGGACAGAGTCTACAAACGGCGTCCAATCACATCCCACACATGTTCGATTGGTGACAGGTGAGGAGAGTATGATAGACAGGGAAGCATCTGTATACCTTGCAGAGCATGTTGGCAGATACGAGCACTGTCTGGTCGGGCGTTATCCTGCTGAAAAATTCCATAATTCAGCCCCTGGGATTGTCATCAGTTGCAGTACATTATCCAAGTGTCTTGGGCCGTCATAGGGCCCTGAATACGAACTAGAGATGACTTGGAATCATAGGCAATAGCGCCTCAAACCATTATGCCACATTGTCGCATGGTGGGGCGTTCTACAGTTACTGCAGGATTAGATCTGTCTCCACGTCGACGCCACACTCGTATGTGGTGACTGTTGCTGGATAAACAGAAGCGTGACTCATTTGAGAACACGACGTTTCACCACTCTGTCATCCACATCGCTCCAGTCCAGCACCATTCTAAACGTTGCTGTCTATGCTGTGGGGTCAATGGCAGTCTTTTTAACGGGCGCATGAGTGCAGGTAACGTTCAACCAAATGGGAAATGGTTCTGATCGACACGGGAACATCCAGGGTATCTTGCACATAATGCAGAATCGCAGTACAAGTGACTTGCGGGCCCGCCACAACTTGTCGGCAGATGCGTCGATCCACGCACCTTTTTCCCCTATCCTTTTTCAAAAAATGTTCTAGTTTTTATCTCATACAGTTTCCAATTATGAAAAGGCAAACATAACTGGAAAAGGTTTAAAAATAATGGTTAATGGTTAATTTTAAAGGTTTTTAAATGACCATTTTACTTGCAGAAAAATAAGAAATCTCAAATATTATTATACTTTATTTTTTTCATCTGAAAGTATATAGTTGATATAATTATTTTCTTATTACGATAAGATATTTTACTCATAGTTTTGAATAGGAAAAGAAACAAAATGTTGAAAAGTTATGTATTTAGTACCAAATGACTTCTGATAATTTCCTGAAAGCGTCTGAATCATCAGCTGAAATTTTGAGTTTTTATTAAAAAATGTCTGATTGGATATTGTTTATAGAACTAGAATTCTGGATATTTATAGTCATGTCTTAACTGGTTATTTCTAGTCTGTGCTTAAATAAATGGTTTAGACAATTATAAGTGCATCCTCTTCATTTTATAAAGTTTAGATGTAAATTTATAAATGAAATTATTAACTTCTAGCTTGAGCTTGTGCATGATTTTAGTTAAAAATAGCTTATTCTTTATTCCATTAGTGGTAAAAGCTTATAATAGGCTGCGTAAACAAAATTGCAAAGGCAGAGCTAAATGATGTCAATAAATGGATGATCGCAATATATGCTCGCATTTACATTAATTGTACTAATTAATATCTATTAAAAATAATAAGAAATGAATGTATTAATGAAAAAAGAAGAATTACTTTTTTACAGCAAATGAATATCATACATAGCTTTTATTTCACTATTTCTTAGATTCCTGAATAGTGTTATAATGTCTTTGCACATATTAGTATCCCATACATCAATAGCTGGCAAATATATAATTTCTCACAATAAGAGAAATTAGATATGAAAATAAAAACCACAAATTTATAGTAATTTCCATTGTTTCAAGTGGGAAATATAAAATCAAGTGCAGTTACAATAACAAACACTATATGTATTAAAATAATAGTGCGAAAGTTATTGAGTGCAGGTTTGCAGCTTTTGTCACTTGACTTTTGTCTTAAAGATTGTCAAACTATCAATATTTATCCTAATACGAAAAACATTATCAACATATCAAAAAGAAATAAAAGTGCAATTTAAAACAAAAATAATGATTAAAAATAGAATTCACAATCAATACATTAGTAGAAATTAAATTATATTTTCTCCACTCAGACACGCATTTTTACTCTTTCGCTCCAGCTGGTAGAAAAATAAAAATTCAAGTTTTCGTCCATACTGTTGAAGTACTGATATTAGACATATTCATCAAAAATTATTTTCTTTGTTTTGACCTGTTATGGTTATAAGGTATTTCTTCCACCTTCTTGGTGTAATGGTTCTGCATGCTGGGCCGGTATTCCAGAGGTCCGTGACTCGATTCCCGGCGAAGGGGGTTGCTCATTTTTCATCTCTCCGTCTTCTAAAAGTAACTTAATATCTGTACAGTGGCACCCAAACTAAAAGGGTTGTGGATGATGACTCTCCACAGCCAGGATTTGGCGATTGGGTCCCCTAAAATCCCCAGTCGCTCTTTAAAAGGGGGGGTATATAAGGTATTTCTCCCACCTTCTTGGCGTACCTTCGTGGTGTAGTGGTTCTGCACACTGGGCCGGTATTCCAGAGGTCCATTGTTCGATTCTCGGCGAAGGCAGTTGCTCATTTTTCATCTTGCCTGCTTCCAAAAAATTCCTAATGTCTCTACATGGTTATACATTTTAAATCATTTATTCAATATTTTCAATCTTTTCTTAAATCTTAATAATGCATTTTTGAGAGCTAACTCGTATTAAATTTTAACAAAACATACAGTAACGTGGATTTATAATAAAAAAGCTCATGCTGTAATACTGTAAACCTAACATTTCAAATCGGTTAAAATATTTTCTTCAAGTGTGAAGCTATACCATAAGTATAACTTGTTTCGAGAAAGAGGTTAGCCAGCATTACGTCATAAAAAAGCAATGTCTAAGCCTAAGACAAGTAAACAGTGTTTTGATTTGTGCAGCATCTTCTAGAATTGAGCCCCATTAGTGTTGGCTCCTTGGTCCTGAATTTAATGACTTATGAGTATGATTTAATGTTAATAAAGCAGTTTATTATGATGTTAAAAAAATCTTCCTTTGGCAGTATAATAAATGATGCACAGCTGTAATTGCTTTTTTACTGGATATCCCAATATGTAATTTTCTGAAAGCTATTAAAGGTTGAGAATAAATACCATTCATTATATATTTTACTTGTACTTCATTATTAAAATAAATATGTGCTAGTCACACTGAAGTAAATCTCTAGCATTTTTCAGTTCAGCAACTAACACCATACTCCCAAAAATGAACATTGGCAGATGTTCAATACATGTTACCAACACAGGCCTTTGTTTTAGTTAACTCAATTATGCAAGTTAAGCAAGACCTGTTTTTTCTACTTAACTTTATTGGATGTGTAGAAGGAAGTTTAGAAAATTTAGAAATAGAATTCAGTTGAAGAAAGAATATAATTTAATTGAACGTAAATAAATATCATCATTAGATAAATGTTACAAAAGAAACAGTTTTGTTACATTGTATAATCTGAAGTAGAAAAACTGCAGCATATCTCTTTGATAAAATTGCAATTCTTTCATAAAAGAATCTATTTTTAAAGACAAAAATGGTACTGTTCTATTAATGGCATGAATTGAGCGGCAAACATAAATGGTGCAAAATCTAATTTTATAATGGAAACTATAATGACACATAAAAAAATTTGGTACCTCAGTATTAAAAGTTCTCTGCTTTGGTAAATATTAAAAAACACTCTGGCAACTTTTAAAAAATAGAAAACTACAATATGGGAATGTACTAAAAAATTTATTTAACAATTAGTAATATTTATTTACATTGAACAGGAAACGTTATATTTATTTACCTTTGGAGAAATAATATCTATTTACATTTGTGAATGTCACAGTTCAGCAATTGCTGTAAAAGAATCAAACATTTTGTCTCATTTCATGTACTGCCGCCACATAAATTCTCCTAAATATAAATCTAAGTATTGATGACCCCTCCGTCTTTCGTTTAACTGTTTGGCAGTAGCTTCCCTATAAGTAATTTCATTTAGTTGCCCTTTTTACACTTTTGCTCAGTATACATTAATATAAATTCCATACTCTTGTAAGGAAACCTCTGCTTGTTTTTCAGTTGATAGCAAGTTAAATTTGGTCAATATTTTAGAGGAAAACTTAATGAAGAATTCAGAAAATGAATGGTATGATGAAGTACCTAATTCCTTCAAGCTGAAAGTTAAAAATTATAAATATGACAAAATATTATTGCTTCTTTTCTAATTGATTATTAGTTTATATTGATTTCAGTTCATATAAGTTTTCTATTGTTTATAAGCTAAACATTTTAAAGGAAAAAATAATTACTGAATCGATGATGCCACATGAACAGCTTTGCATTCAAAGCAATCTGAAAATCAAATCCATTGCAAGTTAAAAATCGGAGGATTGCATTTACAAGCTAGACAGCTAATCTTCCAATTTTAGCAATTGACTGATATGGCCACAATCCTAAAGTAACAAATGTTAACTTGTAATAACAATTTATCATAATATATATAATGTTTAATGTGAGCACCGCCAAATTTCTGAGTTCTCCCCATGCTATTTTCACTTAAAAAAATCAGAGTTGCCTAAATTGAGAATGGCATACAGACTTGGCATCGTGCACATTGAACACTGTACCACAATGTTCAGTGTGCAAGCTACCACATTTGACAGCTGATGTCCCATTAACAGAAAAGTGCCACACTAACTTATCATAAGGTATATGCTTTTATTTTATAATTAATTTATATATCACAAATAAATGTTCTGTTTTTACGTGATAATGTATCTCTTTTCAACTTGTGTGTTTGCACATTCATTAACGCTTTATTCCTTTTTCAGCCTAAATAATGGAGCAATAATCATTTTGAACATCATAAAAGAAAGCTTGGTGTGCAAGCTACGAGGGCATTCCATGGAAATAACTAATCTCTGTTGGTCGCCGTTACATCCTGATACTGTATGTGTGTGTATATATAGATTTATCTTCTAAACTCTAAATTGCTATCTGTTGCATGTCATGTTCATTAAAGCTTGCAAGTTAAATATTACTCATCAATACAGAAGATAATATTGATTCTAAAACAGTTTCAGCTATGTGACAATATGAGCTAATAACTTAACCAAACACATTAGTGATGATTTATGTAGAATGGTTGATATTTTATATTCATAAAATAATTTGGTTTAGAAAATTTCATATATTTTGAAATTCTCAAATTTATGTAAAATTAGTTACAGTGGGTGTTACATAATGTGATCAGGGTTACTGTTATGTTTGGGATATTGCTGTCGAATTGCCAAAACCCCACCCATTTGTATACAAAAACATCGAAAATACAATGGTTATTGTCTCAGAAAAGATAATACAGAACAATTTTAAGCATGCCAACTTTTAGATAGAGTAAAAGAAGTAAATGATAAAGTAAAAGAAGGTGAATTAAATGTGTCTCCAAATAGCATGAATTATCAGCTGTTTTGAAAAACCTTTTGTTGTAGATTCAGTGACAGAAGTTATCTGTCTGTCGCTTTCTGAAACAAATCCTAGAACATCATGTGATAAGCTTTTTGAAGATGATAATGATGAAAGTAGTGAATTTCCTAAAAATTTCTCACATAAGGTATGCCGTATGAGTATGAAGATTAAAGTATGGCATCAGTTGAATAATTTCGAGGAATGTTATGAACAATTTAAAAAATGAACTTTTGTATAAGAATTCCAGTCAGTCAACTGCTAATGACTTTTTTCTAATTAAAATGCAATGAAATTAAGCATACACTGGATGATTATAATTAAACAGTTGACTGCTAATGACTTATGTAATTAAAATGCTGTGAAAGTAAGCATACACAGGATGATTATAATTAAAGTTCCACTTTCAAAAGACTGTACAAAAAGAACCACTTTTCAGAATGATATGAAATTTGACCTAAAGATATGTAAAGCAATGAGATAGCATTTTAGGATGTTTTGTAAAATTTTAGTAACTGTGCTGATAGGTATATCTAAAGATTAGCCAATTCTCCTTGCACTGCATGTTCCCACATCATACCTAATTTTTTCTTGCAATCCACATCATCACTAATTTCAAGGCAATTGCTTTCCTTCCTGTCCCAGTTCTAATGTCAAATAAACCAGTCTCTTCGAATTTGCAAATTATCTTCCACAGACTCTTGATAAATATTGGACTAGAGCTGCTTCTTATACCTATTAATGTCCAGAACTTCTTCAGGGCAGTTCAAGCACAGTCACCATTCTTATAAAAAAAGCTTCTCGAGCTCAACCCATTCCATCATTTACAAAATCGTGGCAAGCTTCTTGGATGCAGAAAAATAGGAGCTACATGTGTTAAAAATGATGTTTTTATTAAGTCTAATATGTGATGCACATGTCAGGTCTTTTAATTAGTATATTATGACAAGTACAATACCATCTATTGGTAAAATTTTAAACTTTATTTTCTTTCTCCAGACAAATTCCCATTGCTTTATATACAATGTGATTCGAAATTACTTTTACAAATTAAGAGGGTTGATAATACTTATCCAGATGAGCAACTATTACCATAGAACATAGGGTCGCATTCGACTCTGAGAAGCAGAAAAGAAGAATATTAGAATTCCAATATGAACATACAACAGTGTTGGGAGAGCGAATGAGCGAGACCAAATGTTGCACAATCAGTTTAGTGACAAACTCACAGAGAGTTCACAAAACGGATAAAACCAAAAACTCGGCATTCAAGTGTTAATTAGAGCTGAAACTTTGATGGCTAACACTCAAATGCACATCTTTGGTTGGCAAGGTCTCAACCTTGCAAATGATTGCAACAAGTTAATTATCTAAATTATTAGGGTAAAATTATATATGGGTATCTAGGTAGCAGTTGTTTTTCTCTTAGCCATCTTCTATTCTGTCTTTCTGGACTTACTCTGCTGCACTTATTCTACTTGAAGAGTGCCCTTTTATGGGATACAAAGTTCTGACAGCTGGAATGCAGCATGAGCTTTTCATGCTAATCTCTGCATGCAGCGGGACATTGTGGTTAGTTGATAATATTTAGCCCTTGATTACATAATTAACTTTTGCAATTGTTTGCGAGGTTGAGACCTTGCCAACTAAAGATGTGCATTTGAGTGTTTGCAATCAAAGTCTGAGCTCGAATGAACACTTGAATGCCAAGTTTTCGGTTTTATCCGTTTTGTGCATTCTCTGTGAGTTTGTCACTAAACTGATTGTGCAACATTTGGTCTCGTTTATTCGCTCTCCCAACACTGTTGTAAGTTCAGATTGGAATTCTAATATTCTTCTTTTCTGCTTCTCAGAGTGGAATGCGACCCTATATTATATGGTAATTATTGCTCATCTGGATGAGTACTATCACTCCTCTTAATCTGTAAAAACAATTTAGAATCACCCTGTCATTCTGACTAGGGGTTCTTTTTTTTTTTTTTTGATAGCCTTTTGGAAGTGGAACTTTAATTCTATTCCCCCCCTGTATATTTTTCTAGATTTATTTATATTAAATTAGTTAAATTCCATAGATATTTCAAAAATATTTTTCTTATTATTTAATATTTCAAAATAGTCGTAGAAAATATGATCACAGTACTTACAGTTGTTTAATTTCAGTTTTTATTCCACTTTCTTAAAGAAAACAAGTTGTTTATTTCTTTTACAATCATTTCATGAATTAGAAGACCTTTATGTTTTCAACATACTGGTTTAAACTTGGTTCCATTAAGAAAGCAGTCATTTAATTGAAATTTCTTGCCATTTTAACACTTACCAAAGCTGCTGGTATGGGATAAGATGCAATTACCACTATTCATTTAAAATTAATAATTTGCATTTTTTTTCCCCAGCTGCTGTCAACAAGTAGTGATCTTAGTGCACGAATCTGGAAGCTAGAAGAAGAAAAAGCTGTTAAGATATATCACGCATCGTCACCAAAATTCAAAAATGATGATAAAAAGAACTTAAAGTTTTATGGAATTTTTCATCCGATGGATCCAGATGCAATAATTTGCAATACTCCTAGGTAAGCGTAATTGTTGTTTGGTAGCAATAAAAACATCAAAGCATAAGATTTGTTAAATTCATCAAACAATAAAAATATCAAAATATAATTTTTGATGTTTTTAGTACAGTTATATTAATATTGATCATAAGAATCAGACATATAGCACATTTATGAATTTATACTAAATTATTAGCTAATCAGTCATGGTTACTTTGTTAAGGATAAACTTGCTCTGAAAATTTTGAAGTATGCTAAATAAAGTATTTCTAAGTGGAATTGATAATTGTCTGCGTTTTTAATTCCATTTATCAAGGTCAATTTAAATCTTAAATCTTTACCATCAAACTGACATAGTTTTTCTTTAAAAAAGTTCCCCCCCCTTTTTTAATTGTTTTATCTGAAGAAAAAAAAAATGTTACCTATGGAACTAATATAAATTTTTTCATCATTGAATAATAAATTTCATAGTTTTATTTATTCTCTTTTTTTAAAAAAAAGCTCTAAGCGTTTAAAAATGTTTTTCAATCTTAATTTTTCCCCTCCATCTAAACAGATTTGCTTAATGCAACAATATAAATGAGATGAATATGACAGTTTATTTTAGCCATCATTGAAAAAAATTAACAATACCAGCAACATCAAGTTCTCGCAGTACATAATGTTTACCAGATGCATTTTTGTGTTTTGAAGATTGACACTGTAAACAAATATGTATTGATCATCAAAACCCAAAAGATGCATTGATAAAAACTGATTCTTGATATTTTGGAAACATTAATTAGGTGTGATTAATTGGAATATACAAGGATATATTGCTATAAAGACGTGTTGGATGAAAATATGATATGTCACCAAACAGTGTGGTTCATCATCAGTTATGGATAAGCATGACCTAACAACTTTCTCATAACATCTGTGCTTTTGTTTATTGATTCTCGATAAGCCACACTCTGTTCTTATAAACGCTGATATAATTTCTTTTGTTGTATTTTTTCTTTCATTTTGAAAACACATTATTAAAATTGGGGTTTGTCTTTGACAGAACGACAAGGAATTGATTAAGATTCTTCAAGTTATCAAATCCTACTATGAAAAAAGGTGTGTATTAATGGACGTGATATGGTTAGCTGAATATGGACGACAAAACTGATATATATTGGAGCAATAACTTGCAGGAAGTTTTTATTTGCATTCTGAGCTTCCGGTAAAATTGGAGGGCCTAACAAAAAGTAGAATTCGACAAAAACCTTTTTAGGCAGCTCAAAAAAGAAGCAGGTCAAATGCTGATTGTTTATTAAATAAAGGGGTGATAATTCCTTCGGAATTTCATAGGAATTCCACTTTTGCAGTACCTCCTCCTATTTTCGTGGTTCGATGGTAGCCAGCTTTCACTGTCAATGGAAGTACATAAGCACAGAAAGTATTTCTAGAGAAAATAATATATAAAAGTAATGATAAACAATTATCTGTAACAATTATTTCATAATAAGAAAATGTATACTTTAAAACTTTATAATGCTCCAAAAGTTATAATGTTCCAAAAGTTATAATGCTCCAAAGTTTTCTAATTATCTGCAACCCTATCAAAATGCTGTAGAAAAATATTGATGAGTCTATATGTCTTGCTGCGATGTAGTATTTATATGGCAAATCGCAATTTTGCCAAAAAATATTTTTCTGGCAACCCAGGTATGTGCTTAATTTAATATTCCCCCAAATGCCTTTCTTCCTCAAACATTTTTATCAGCATAACTAAAGGTTGTGTTCCCTCCCGTGGAAATTTTAGTGTTAACTATAATGATAGACCTTATACTGCAGTTTTTTCGTCATTGGCAAAATCTTTAGACTTACTTTTCTGCAGTCATAGAGCACAGTGTGGCTCCCTTAAAGGTATCATGCAGCTCTTGTTGTTGAGGTTGCATGCAACACCAAATTTCTTCAATTCTGTGATATCTTTTTATTAGCAAAAACAGATTGTTGTGTACATGGGGAAAACATTTATGAGAAGTGTCTTGTGCAGAAATAAAATTAAAAAAAAAAAAAAGAAAGAAAGAAAATAGGTGTCTGTGGATTCATGATTGAAACCCAAAAAATGCCCTCTTCAAAGTTGGCTATGAGTTTGCAACTTTTCATTGGGGGTGTGGATAATCAGAAAGTACCAAATATTGTCTTCCATGCCCTGATCATCTGCAGTTTTAACATCCTAAATCTTCTGGGGTTTGAGAATTTTTTAACAGGGCATCAGATCTTGAAACTTGTATTTTTAATAATCAGATTCATATCAGTATTTACCCTGTTGCAAGATATTGCTTATTGTTGTTTTTGATTTGCATTTCCACAATAATGTAGTTATATGTAAATATATGATTTTAATTGTCAGGACTGACATAGGATCTCCATTATCATCATGAAGCTATATTTCAATATTTTGAATTATGTCCAAAGATCAAAATAGGTGAATTAGATTGGAGTAGATTAATGCAAAGATAATTTTAAGACATGTGTAGTTTTTGGCATAAGAAGAAAAAGATGAGATTTATTAACTAGAAGTCTGGTACAATTGTAATTTTTTTATTTAATGAATTTTGAGTAGCTTGATTAAAAGAGAGATAAGTTATTGGAAGAGAATCATGCAAATGAAAAACTTTAGACTGAGTTAAAAGCAACATGTGGCATTGATTTCGAATACAGTTGTGTCGATTTGGAAAATGAACTGACATGTCCTTCTTTAGAAGTGAAAAACTTTTTGCTTTTTGAAAGGAACTGAATTTCTTTTGCTGTAGACATTGGATTTAGAAAATTATATTTTAACTTGTACCTTAACCATATATATAATTGCTATATTTACTTGTATAATCAGGAGCATTAGAAAGTTTCGAAGGAAAACAAAATTATTTAAATATTATCTTCTCAGTAATACCACAGATATTTATTTAGAAAATGATGACGAATTATAGCATTGTGTTACTGCAATAATCCAAATAAATTAATGATAAATACTCACACATTACACTGCATAGTACCAAAGAATTATTTATTTCATTGTAGTAGCTTCTAAATATGATCATCTCTGCTGAGATTAAAGATGTGAGTCAAACACAAATTTGTTACAAATATTAAGATACTTCTTATAGTTCTGTGGGATTGCACAAAAGTATGGAAAAAGTCAAAAAACTTCAGCCATTTATGTTCATTATCTCTAATATTTATTATTTTAGCACTTGACAAAGGAAATCACACCTAAGAAACAACAGACCTCGTTGCATGTACAACAAAATGGTGCTTCCTCTTGGTCGCTCAACTATAGTTTAGTTCATATGAAAGTTCTCTTGCTATGAACTGAAGGCTGCAAATAAAACAAAATGGTACATTTTTTGCAGTATTTCTCATGTACTGGTCAGGCAAAGGGGAAAACTACACATCAAAGAACTTTTCAGCATTGTGGCATTTGATAAGCCATAAAGGAACATCTCGATGTTCTTTGACTGCTACATGAAGCCAAGGGGAAAATGCAGGGCCTCACCTTCCTCATCTCGTTATCAAGAGGGGAAAACTGGCTCGAGGGCTTCATTTATATAGAGTGTTGATAGTTTATATTCGATAGTGATTAAATATTGAAGTTCACAAAGGCAAGTTTGTTTTCGTAATAATGAAGGTGAAATTTGAAAACATTTTATTGTTTGAATGTTGTATAATATGATTAAATGTTACTATGTTGCAAAATGTATTTTTCTTTTCTGTTCTAGGGGTGACTTCGGTTCAGTCAGTTTTAAAGATAATGGAAAACCAAAGTTTCACTCTTTTCTGTCTAAACCAGGGGACTCTGCATCTATATATAAACATTTATATTCTGTGTTTCCTTGCAATTACAATAAAGGTGGAGAATATGTACTATACTCATATGACCAGTTCAAAGTAAATTTCTATATCCTTTTTGAATTTCTGATTTTTTTTTTTTTTTTTTTTTTTTTTTTTTTTTTTTTTTGTATACTGTTTTTATTTTATTATTTTAATTTAGCATGAATTCTTAAAAGAAGTTTTATTTCCTTCAAAATTTAAATAGTAATACTGCTGCGGAACAAAATTATTAAATGTTAAATTGATCCAATTCGTATCTGTGATCATCAAAACACAGAGTAATTCAAAATGCTTTGAAAAAATTTAAGGGGTCATAGAATACGCTTAAACAAGCACTTTTCATCATACAGTGCATGAACTAGTCAAGTAACAGAGGATATTTTAGCAAAAGTCTTTCGGCTTCTTTTAGTCTTTCGGCTTCCAGAGCATTCCCATTCGTAAGACCATATACATAAAATGCATGTCTGCCTTTTACTGAACTTTTACTGAATGTCGATATGCCTTTCAAAGTTCATGCTAGAAATGACTCCTACCATCAAACTTTTGAGAGGACTTTTGTCTAGCTGTATATTTTGAATGTCCTTGTACCGTACAGACATCATACATTTACAAACATTCATGCTTTCTGCGGGATTCGAACCCGTGATCCTTGGTATGGCAGTCAGATTTGCTAAACACTAAGCTGGTTGGCAGCTGACAATGTTGGGGGTATAAATAGGAAGTTAGAAATTCAAAGTATGAATTATGAGGGTCACCTTGGAATTATATTCAAGAAAATGTGTTTTGCTGTTCTTTTGGAGAACTTTCAAACTAACAGCTATACAAATTATTAGTGTTATGTGAAAACTCATAATTTTCATCAGTAAATCAACCTTACTAATTTCAGTCATATTTTCACCAAAACATGCATACAGGTTGTGGAATTCTTCCGCCTAAATTCCCATCCTGATGGTGGTTTGCATGTTTCTAGTGCTTAGATTATTTATATTGATATTTGTAGTAATAGACATATTTAAAGTATGCCTCTTAATTGTTTTAAATATTTGTCTTTTTTTCAAGTTATAATAATTGTAAATGTATTTCCAGATTTAATCATAAACAATTATTTAAAATTGTTAACCTTTTAGCCTGAAAAAAAAAAAGACGGGAACTCTTTTTTTTTTTTTTTTTTTGTAAATATGGAATTAGAGACTTGAATAAAAATATTTATAAAAACTTTCTGCTTAATCTTCGGTACTATATTCGAAAACGTTTTTTTTTTTTTTTTTTTTTACTTGTGCGAAACATACATTAAATAAGTGTAAAATTTTGATTTACATTATTTAATTTATATTGATTTTCATCTGTTCAGTTTAAAAAAAATTGATTCTGTGACAGTTCTTGTTTTAATGAATTATGTTTCTTTGTTTTTTTCCTCTCCTGTTTAGATTAATATCTGGGATTTGAAAGAAGAAAAATTAGTGGGTTTTCTACCTTTTGTTCAAAGCCCCATCTATGATTTAACTGTTTCACCAGTGAATCCCAGTATGATTTTTTATTTTGTAAAATTTCAAATAATATTGCAGTTCTTATTTTGTGTGCATGTATGTGAATATATATGTTTAATTCTCTTTCGTCTCGACATTTATTGAAATATGATTTATGTTTTATACTTGGAAGCAGTTTTCCTTGCATTTATATAATTATTATCAATTATGAATAAACTATATCCTGTAGTACATAGCATGTTCAGTAAATATTCAAAGAGATTTCATTTCTAGACAGTTGAATTGAATTTTACTATTTTTTAATGCAGCGCACGTTTCGTTGTTATTTCGTGACCACGAAATAATGACGAAACGTGCGCTAGGCTAGCGAAACACGCTCTGAATAAACAGATAATCGCCTGTTAAAATAGCGCTTCACTTAACTTTAAATTTACATCCTGGCGAGAGAATGTGAGGGAAAATTTGAGAAGTCGAGAACAGGAAAACTTAAAAATAAATTTGTTATGCAAATTAAGAAAAACCCTACAATACATGTGTATTAACATTTTGTATGATACTCATTTCAGTAGGGAGGACCCTAGGATATTTTTGATAGGGTTCTCAATACCTGTACGTCTGCCACTGGTTGTTGTTCCCTATTATAAATTAATTTTTCAGTTCATTCTTATTAAGGTTTCACAGTTTATATTCAGGCTTACTAGTATCTGTACAAGTGAAACTATCTAAGAAAAGAAAAAAAGCAAATTAACATAATAATGAAAATTAAATTGGATGTCTTAAGAAACTGGACAAAGGTAAAAATATTTTTAAAAAATTAAATGGGTTTAGGTGTTGTTATGATTAATTCATCCGTTCTGTAAAACTCTACATTTTCGGTAACTGGTCATCCTCTCGGCCCACATTAGGTCAAGTCCGCAAAACTGTACTGTATATTTAAAAAATTTTTACAGTCAAAAGTCGTTAATCCGGACTCGTCGGGACTTCGGCGATTCCGGATTATCGATTTTTCCAGATTTTAGATCATCAGTTTAAATCTCGTAAGATGGCATGCAGAAATTCTAAAATTAAAAATATGAAACCGTAATTTATGAAATAAAGAACAATTATGATCTAAAGGGAATCAAAATTTGCAAAAAGAAAAAGCTTAATATTTATTTGTTTACTTTATTAAACATTTCTTTCAATGTAAGTTGTTTAAGTTTTGCTTCGTTTCATGTGATAATACTTTCTCTCTTTAATTCTATTAAACAGACATAATTTCTTGTTCAGTTACAAAGTTCCGCTGTTCAAGTCCTATAATTGCTGTGTCGAGAGCACCGACTAATTTGTCAATCGAAATTTTTTCGTTTTCACTAACCTCTGTCACTTTCTTTGCTATCGGAAGCGAATTATAATGACGAGGAACTTGTTTTAAATCATATCAAAGACGGAGCACATCGAGATGAAATACTAATTTGGTAAGGAATTATAAGCCAAATAAAATAAAAACATCTGCCCTGAAGATAAGGATAGTGCTGACAGATCAACTTCCAATTCATTACACGCCCGCTGCGGCGTTCCCCCCGCCGAGCAGCGTGAAATTGATAAACAGATTTCGGATTTCAAAACATACTTTCGCTTTTAGATCCTTTACATATTAACAAATATATATCGGAAATTCTATTTGATATAATCGAAAGTTTAAGCTTACTTTTATAAAATTGCTCTTACAGTCTGCAAAAAATAATAAGCTGGATCCAATTCGAAAATTAAGGAACAACGCAATTATCAACATTAAATGAAATAGATAATTAGATAATTTTAGCTTATACGTCCATTATACATAAAACGCGCACGCGAAAACGTATTCTGCACTTGCGCACACTCATATGCGCAGTCGTAAAAGGTCTTACGCGCACGCGTAAACACCTATGCGCATGTGTCAACGCGGCGCATGCGCAGAAAGTTTTTAGTTTTGAGGGTCTGGATTATAGATCATTCCGAATTATGGGTGTCCGAATTAACGACTTTTGACTGTATTAGTTTTTAAATTATATGTTTGATTTCTACTTTGAAGTCTTGATTATTTCTAGCAGTTATGTTTTAAATTTAATCTAAAACTTGATTTGAAACTGAAAGTTATTATTTTTGATGGTGTGCTTACAGCTGATAATTAAAAATAAGATTTTTATTGAATTAATGTGTACTATTAGATGCTAAGGATATATTATGTTTAGCTTTGCAAATTCCTTTATGTGTTTACAGAAAAGATTAAAATTCCTAAAAGATTTATAAGAGTAGATTTACACACACATTTAAAAGAAAAGGAAAGGAATGCAAGTCATTGAAATTTTATTTTTAAAAATTCTTGTTTGAATTTTTCATTGTGTTGAACTTAACCATGGTTTTATAAAACATCTTTTGAAAGTACACTATTATTCATGCAGCTAAGTTGTTTGAAAGAATGGAAAATATCAACAGCAATAGCATCTGTTTCCCTTAGTAAAGAATATTAGAATAGATTTAAATTTAGTAGCAATAATTGGGGCAGAACTCTTTTGGTTCTTATGAAAATTGTTCATCCCCAAAATCAGTAAAGTTTCAATTAAGTCCACACCTAACACTAAACTGTTCTTTTGCCTAATTTTAAATTTTACTTTAATGTGTTTCTTTCCTTTGTTGAATTATGGCAAATCTCACAAGTGACTGCGAAACTAAATCTAAATTTGATTGCCTTAAAAAATCTTTTAAAATTTTATGTTAATACTTCGCTTATTTGTTTTGTTTGTTTCAGAGTTAGTTAATTATCATATGTAAGAAATTTTGTTGCATAATTTTAAACAACAATTTGGTAAAAAAAGAAAGAAAATTTTATTGTGTATATCAGATGCTGCTTAATGTGATCACAGTTAATATTATCATTTGGATATTATTATTAATTTGCTCAAGTCATGCCCGTTTATATTTGAAAACATGGAAAATGTATTGGTTAATATTGTTACAAGCTCAGGGACATCGATATTTCTTTGAAAGACTTGCATACGATTGCTCTCAAATTATTCAAGTTCAGGAAGCAGGAAGAAATGAGCAATTTATTAGGAAAATAGGCTCAGTAATGCCTGAAATTAACTTGAGAAGAACACAGATATTCAGCAATTCCTCCTTAAATCAATCTTAAATACTCATGAAAGAGCTCAGCTCTCATTCCATTTACATACTGCAGTGGGTGCAAATGAACTAGCTCACATTAGAAATTTACAACTTACATATATTACATGTATGTGGGATGAAAAAATTGCTTAATCTCGCAAACACTGAAAGGTTAGCACAGGAAATAAATTGTAGAATTCCTTAAATCACTCTCATAGTAAACCTTAACTCATTGTTCAGCTAACCACTAAGTCTCACAGCTGGTTCACACTTGTTTCAAAACCTTTTCTTGCGATTTTATACCTTGCAGCATGGGCTCTGGAAACTTCTGTATCAGTCAAATGTGTTTTCATGAACCTTTCAGAAAGCTGTCCTGGCTGGGAAGAAATCACCAAATGTTGCCAACTTGGTAATAAAAATTGTTCGCCAAGGCCTCTTACCTATATCTTGAGTTAAACTGCAAAATTACCCTTTCAAGAACATTAAATAAATAAAATGATATAAAATTCTAGAACAATACAGAAAAATAAAAATATGTTAAAAAAGGATTAAAATATTTGCAAAAATCTTATGAAACTGTTACAGAATAAATTTGTTTTAAACTCAAGTAAAATCATCCTGCGAGGTTGAAAGAGATCATAAAATTGCTGAATGACTGTCAGTTGAGGGGTTGATTTGCTAAACAGCTTGATTCCAATTTTAGTCAACTATATAAAATTAGATAAAAATCGTACATTTTGAATAATTATTGATTTTGAGAGCAATCGTATGCAAGTCTTTCTTCTTCAGATGAGAGGGCAGAGGGGAAAATTCCAGGTATTTGTTCATTTAGAAGAAAGTTCCCTAAAAAGATCTATGACAAACGAAGTTTGCCTGTTTGCTTAATTTAAAATTTTACATTCTTATGCACTGTAATGTTCTTAGTGTATCCCAGATTTTAGTATTCCTTCAGAATGTTAAGATTAGCGATGCAGCAACAATCAATTTTCAGGAACATTATGAGTAGTTCATAATTAAACGTTTGCATTTTCCAAATTAATATGCTATAAAAATACCTATTTAAATGTTAATGGTTATATTAAATTAGTTAAAATCCATTGTTGTTTTGAAGGATTTTTTTTTCATTGTTTAATGTTACCATTGAGTTAATATTATCAAAATAGCTGTAGACGAATATGTTCATATTAAGCAGTGCCTATGGTTATAATATTTGCATAAATATCATCATGTCTTTTTTTGAAGGTTTGTTGGCCATCAGCTGTGGAGATGGAATAATAAGAATATGGAATTCAACTAATGAATTGAAATTAAATTTAGGAGTTGTATATATCCATTACAAGGAGAAAATTCATATAGTAAGTTATTTTCATTCTTTCAAATATCAGTAATATTTTAATATATATATATATATATGCAATAGATTCTGTAATAGAACGGAGGCAGTTGAATCCGTAACGAACAGCGAGAATTTTGCTGTTGTAGAATGCTGATCCACAATGACTAAAACATTTGGTAGTTAAGGTATATTTAATTAAACTTGTATTTCAGTAAATATGTTGTGGCTACAATCAAGTTGGCTCATTAATTGTGCCTATACCAAAAAATTTACATTTTAAACAAATTTGAAGTAAGAAAAATGGAGCAGATAGCCTACAGTGCAGCTGGGCCAAAAAAGCAAGTGCATCATGTTCAGGAACTTGCATAGAAACCATGCACTTGCATAAAAAGCAAGTGCATCATGTTTAGGGTGAAATCTTAATTCAGACTGAGTTAATTTTGGTTCTCAGTGCATTTTGATTGGATAGTTAATATTTCTGTAAAATTTTTATTGGCTGTTTGAGTTTTAAGTCCATTTACGTCATCAGAATTATGTAAAAGTCATATGACATGGATTAGTCTCGAAATGATGCAGTGGAAATAGAGGTTACTATTTTTAGAACAGAGAAGGGAAATTAATTTACGCTGCTATTTTAATCTTTTATGTATTCTTTATTTTCCTTTAAAATGTAACAAGTGTAACAAAATTTCAGATGCTAAGTTTAAAGGGTCACTAAATTGATGCAGTATTAATTTAGCTAGACCAAATCACCAAAGAAAATCATATTATGGATACTTGAAATCGTAATATGGATACATCATAACGGGAATCTTCCAAATAAGAAAGCTCATTTCAGTTTTAATTCCAGTAAAAGCCTGACTATCTGGCATTCAACTAATGAGAAAAACTCAATGGGAATATTTAGGAAAAAGGAATATTTGCTCCCAAAAAATTAAGTAAATGTAAGATATTTGTAAGATATTTCCTGTGGGTTTTATGTAAACTCACCTAATTCTTGATAAGCTGATTTAAATTTTGTAAAGAAAGCTATTAGATATATGTTTTCATTGCATTAAAAATTATTAATATTTGGATAGCAGTTTCATGGAACAGCATGCAGTATGGTATTTCCTGTGTTATAAGAAGTGGATGTGTCTTTATTTGAAAATGAATGAGCAGTGTGCAATACAGTGTGAAAAATCGCAATAAGCAGCTTGCCTTGTTATATGCTATATCTATAATTTGCACCTGTTTATGTGGAAAATGATCCGTTCTGTTAAACTTCTGCCAGTTTTCATGTTCAGTAGATAATATGTTTTACTTTCATGTTTATAGTCTATGAAATTTGTCAATTTTTATGTTTTGTTATGTGTCAGTTGTTTGTGTGAAACGAATTCTCCCCCCCCCAATTCTTATATAATTTTAAGTCTAGCCTTTTGATATTCAAATTGGTAATAAATAAAATGACTTTTATAATTTTAGTCCTGAAATTTCTTCCATTCATTTGGCTTTTCTACTGTGAATTCCAGTTTTTATATGCTCAACTATCCAAAATGTTAAGTTAAATAGTAACATTTTTCCTTACTAAGCATTTATGATTTTATAATGTAAAGTGGTTATTTGGGGGTATAGTTTAAGAGCTGATACTATTCAGAGAGTATCAAAAATCTATTGCAAAGCATTGTAAGCAATATTAAATTATTAATTTAGTTGTGGTTAGTAGAAAATGATTTCTTGAAATGAATGAATGAAATTATTATTATTATTATTTCCATAGTGCACTGCATGTCATTTTCACAGAAAACTTTGTTTCATAGGCAGCTTGGCATCCAACTGATGAAAATCTACTTGCCTTTGGTACAAGCGAAGGGAGAGTGGGAATAGCTGATGTTTTTAAGAAAAAGTACTACTTTTTTACTTTATCTAATTACTTGTGCATAATTATTTAATTTAATATTTTTATTTTGCATAATGTTTTTGAAATAATAAACTTCCTCAAATAGGGTGCTTAAAGTACATTTAATTTTTAATCCGGAATGATATAATTTTTATACCACTAACCCCCTTCTTCAAAAAATAAATAAATATAATAACAAAAGGAAGCAGGTGCTCCATAAATACAGTTTTTCTCCACATTAATTCAGAGGCCTGCAGGTCACTTCTAAGCAGGACGTGCAAGAGAAAGGCTAGTTCATAGAGCTTTTCTCCCTGAAACAGGAACTGAGGAGTGAGGACATAGTCATGCTGACCTGATTGCAATGACCCAGTTCGTAACAAAGAAATAAAGGTTATAAATTTGAAAAAACTGTGCGTTAAAATAGCTTTAATTTAGAAAAGAAGATGTTATTGCTGTAAACACTTGTAGTGTTTAAAAAGTTGGTTACTGTAAGCATTTATGTACGTCTGGTACATATTTATCAATTTTAAGATAAAATAAGCTCCATTTTCTTAAAAGTTGCTGTTTTTTTTTTCCTTTATTCATTGATTATTAAATAAATCGTGAAGAAAAAACTATGGCATTCATTACCTTTTCTTCATCTGTATAGTAAGTGGGAGAATTCTATTACTCTTTCTAAGCTTTTTAAATTCTGCCACCCTCTACAAAAAAAAAAAAAAAAAAAAAAAAAAAAAAAAAAAAAAAAAAAAAAAACTTCTGTTTGGTATAGTTTTGAAAATATATGTCAATTCCTCCCCCTTGCATCTAAAAAAAAACTTACATTTGAGTGTTTCTCTTCCGAATTGATATAATAACAGATATTTTAAAAATAACTGTTTAAATTATACTCACATTTATGCACATACATTTAATAAATACATTTAAATAAATGCAAGATCATTAAGTTTGACAAAACAACTTTGCTCACAATATCTAAAGAGAATTACTTAATCTTTGAAAAGAGGCGCGAAAGAGGAAAATCTTTTTTTTATGCGAAATTACTCTACCATTTTATATGATTATAAATTACCTGAAATGCTGAGCAATCTTTGTTTTTTACAAATTATTCTTTCATTTTTGTTTATTTCTATAGTTAGCAATTTTCATTGTAATATGCATTTCAGGAATTTTTACATCATAATTTGTGAGTTAATAAATAACAATAATTTTATTAATTTAAAATCACTCATATGTATTTTATTATTCCTATCATCATTTTCATAATTGGCCGCAAAATTAGTTTTTTTTTTTTTTCCCAAATTTAATTTGTGCATTTTTCAAAAGCAAATTTTTCTTTTCTTGGCACAGTATTGTATTTTAACAGTTTCTTTCATGGCAATTCAAGCAAGCGACTTTTCATGTCATCTTCACAAGCACTGCATAGAAAATGTTCTCTGCAAATTCTTGCATTTTTCACATTAATAGAATCCTGTCTTCAACACATGTATCCTTCCCCCCCCTCCAAAAAGCAAATTGGCCTTTGGAAAAATAGTAAATGCCATATCACGGTCTTTCTCATTTCCATGAATTTTATGGCACTTTGCTACAGTGCAAAAAGACGTATTACATAAATGATACTTTGTAACAGTGGTTTGAAACTAGGTTGCACATGAGCCAATGCACAATTTGAAAACGGCTGATCAGCAGTAATTACAAAAGAAAGGGTGCTAGATTTTTTTCTAACAAAACAAAATTTGTTAATTAAATTAAAAATTTTAACTAGATTTTTGTAAAATTTTGCAAGTAAAAATAATGCAAAGAAAAATATCAAATTTGTACTTATATTTCGGAAGTCTAAAAGTACTGGTATCTGCAAGAAATTTCTTTTAGTCGCAGTTTGGAATTCAAACAGACAGCTAAATATTAAAATTTTCAGATTTTCATTTATTCAACTAATTATAATATATTGAACTACTAAGTAAGTTATTTTTAATTTAAACTAAAAAGAAGTATATGGAAGCTTCCCAAGAAGCACAAAATTTAAAATTAATTAATGATAACCTATTCTCTTTCTTTTATTTATTCGATTTTTCTGCAATTTGGAAACAGAAAAAAATAATATTATGTAGATTACTGTAAACATCTTTGTTTCTTACTGCACCTATCAGCTACATCACCTCATAATGTTTTGATTTTCATGAAGTTCGAGATCCTTGAGGGAAATTACTAAAAATTATCATCATGATTTGTAGATAGATACTCATCAGCAGTCTGGTTCTTTTCATAGACTGATTAATTTTCAGCTATGAAAAAAATATTTTCTCATTTAAATGTACTTAAAAACAAAGCGATTATTCTTATTGCAAAAATTCGTAACTTAAGATGTTCATCTTTTGACAAGTACTGATAAAAGTTAATGAAATCTATATCTTAAAATCTTTGAACAATATTTATATTACGGTGTAAATTAATTAGCTCTATTTCTAGATTTTCCAAAGAGTTCCATTCTTTTTTGGTAATGAATAAAATGTAAAACTGGACTCAAACCATTAAAATCTTAAACTTTTTCTTCAAATTTTTGTCATAATAATGGTAATCAATTTAAGTCAGGATTTCTTAAACTTTTGTAAGTCACTACTCCCTTTTAGCACTGAGATTTTTTTGCAATTCCCCAGAACCCCATAATATTTACAAAAATTTTGTGTGAACCCCCATAAGTATAGCGCAAATCCGACAGACGCATGAGTGAAACTGTCAATTTTTCACTTCTATTGTAATATACTATTGCAGTTTTATGTCATTAACTTTAATTTCTAATTTTAAGACAGAACAATGTGAAAATTTTAAATAAGTAACAGACGAAATGACAGTGTCATGTGCAAAGCAAGGAAAATGAATGTTTATATTATAAAAAGAATGCGGCGAAGCATTTTCGTTTTTTTCTTTGTGTGTATTTTCAGAGACACTATGTAAACATATTTGGTAATTGTAAAATTATTATAATAAGGTAATGAAATATAATAACTGCTAAAATTTCCGGCAACTCCCTGCTGCAAGACCCGCGACCCCACAGTTTAAGAAACCCTGATTTAAGGGAAATTTATTCGCAGGCAGTATTAAGTTACTTCGAGGGCCGCCAGTTTGTCTTTGCATTACTACAAACCAATATAGGTAATAAAAATTTGAGATATACACATTCCTAGTTGTAAACAGGCAAAATCAGAGCAGACACAACATAATGATGTCAGACTACTCCCTTTTAACTCCTCCTACGAGGATTGTGACGACGAGAAGTCACACAAAGAAATAAACAAGCCCTTCTCTTTAACCCTGCTTCTAAGCAGGTTACGGGTATAAATGAGCGGGACACCAAAATTACACCATAGGTTAAACAGGTGTTGTTCCAATATATTAATTATGCAGCTCCACTGCAACTATAAGGAAGAATACTGCGAGGGGCTATCTGAAGTCTCTCACTCCTCTTTTCCAACCACCAGCCACTCAAGGATTTTCAGCTCACTGTGTATTTTGATTTCCCTTTGCCACTGGGGAATTGCACTGTAGCCCATAACAATGCATTAATTGCTTTTATATTGAAGTTGGCCTAGATCCTATTTTCAACCCTTGGGTGATTGTCCCGGAAGGGTTCAGAGCCAATGACACCATGTATATTGCTGCCTGGTGTAATCCCTACAAGTTCAAAATTCTACTACCCTGAGCCTTTCCATTAATTCTGAAAGTTCTGCCATCTCTGATCTTTTTCTGTTAAGTGCTTCTCTAAATTTAAAAAAAAAAAAAAAAAAATTGCCACTTCTATTTTCTGATATACCAGTTGTACCTATTGTAGCATCGTATCTGTCGGGATTAGCATTTTGCTAGACCTAAGTAATAAGTGAAGCCCCTGTTTTGCCATATTATTTTACTAGATTTGAATTTATGATCAAGATAGAGAATTTTCATAATTGTCCAAAGTCCTGCCAATTCTGGATCTTGGACTTTATATATCCCATTGAGAATAATGAACATATGCAATATTGTTATGAATTATGAAATTGGCTGGCTATAACAGTGCTTTGTATATATTACTATGAAGAAAATGATTTTCTTTGATTATAAGGTCAACAATCTAGCTAAATTTGCATTTTTTTTTGGCTCAAAAACCACATATATGTCTCTCTATTATGCCATTTGCTTAATTCAATATCTATATTTACTCAATGAAATAAGTCAGAAGAGAATGTTTCTTTTCTAAAAAAGGAAAAAATATTGTTGAATAATGGTTTTCATTAACCAAAACAAAACTGAAGGGGATTTTATTTTTTACAAGATAAATGATGAATAAATTCTTTGTGCAATGATTGTTAAAAAAAATATAATTCTGTGAAAGATCACATCCGTTGATATATATTTGTAGTAATATGTTGTGTTTATCTGCTAAGAAATACATTGTAAGATTCAAAAGTTCCCGGACTGAGTCTATAACGTAAAATTTTTTTGCAGTAGTATGACTACAAGAACGTTTTTGTGTTACTATGTTCTCCCTCTTTTCTAAAAGTGGTTTGTCTCAAATCGCGGGGTCAAAAGCTCGTGGCAACAGCGTTTTTTGTAGGCAGGTGCATTTAGTAACCGACAATAGAAAGAAATGGTGTCGGTTGAGCAGAGAATCAATATCAAAATTTGTGTTTGCTTAGAAAAGAGTGCTATTGAGACTTTTGAAATGTTAAAGCATGTGTATGGAAGTGAAACATTATTGAGAACACAGGCTTTTGATTGACATCGTAATTTCAGAGAAGGCAGGAAGAGTGCGAAGATGACGAATGCTGTGGCCGTCCTGTTACTTTATGCACCGATGAAAACATAAAAAAGTGTCTGCGGCGGTGCGTGCGAAAAGGCAGCAAACAATTTGCCATAGCAGAATCTGTTGGGATATCAGAGGCCACATGCCAGCGGATACTGACTAAGGATCTTAACATGCATAGGGTGTGCCAAAACATTGTTCCCCGGATGTTAAACATAGACCAAAAGGGAATTTGAATGAAGTTGGCTCAAGACTTAATCTTGGTAGTTGACAAAGATCCTTCTCTACTTGGCAGAATTGTTACTGGAGATGAGAAAGGGTGTTTTTTGTACGACCTGCAAACCAAGAGAGCATTGGCAATGTGGAAATCACCACAGTCTCCATGGAAGCAGAAATTCCACCACCTCACCCTTTTTTACTCACCTGATCTCACACCCTGCAATTCCTTCCTGTTTTCTGAACTGGCAAGACACTTGCAGAGTTGTCTATTTCAATCTTCAGATGAAGTTAAATGTGCGTCACAAGCATGGACATGGCCAAAAGTGGATTCCAGACATTCTTCGATGAACTCTACAGGCGCTGGCAAAAGTGTATTGTTGCACAAGGGTCTTATTTCAAAGGAGGATGTGTTTCTGCAATTTAATTCATAATATCTTTTATGTTATAGACTCAATCCGGAAACTTTTGAATCCTACGTCGTATGCAATAGAAGAATGGCAGCCTTAACACTCAGCTGATTCTCATATTTCAAGCTTTTCTTTTCAAATAACAACCATATTGATTATATTGTTAAGATTGCCATTGCAGATTCAGGCTTTCTATATTTCATGTCAACATGTATATTTGTAAAATATGCAATTGCTTCTGTGTTATTGGAAAAAGTAGCAGAATTTATAACTTTTCTTACAGCTAGAAGTAGAGAATAATACTTCTTGCAAATACTAATGAAAAAACAATTTTAAAAATAACAAATTTGTGTGACTGCCCAGGAAGTAATGATTTTTTATAATTTGAGGATAGAAGAATGAAAAAGAAACATTTGAAAAACTTATGAAAATGATTTTTTGTCTTATTAAACATAGTAATGTTCATATATATCATATCCTTATTTTCATTTTATAAAAATGCTTTATAAAGAGAGAATGTATTTAATATATTTTTCTCTGTAAAAATAATCAAAAAAGATTGAAATTTTCGTGTGTATTTCTTTTGAATTTATCTTTATTTATTCATACTTTTTAAGCTTAAATGTAAGGATTTTATGATCACTAAATTCTAAAAAGTTTAGTCCAGAGATGACTGAGGTTGTGTGGATTGAGTCACCTTTGGAGCAACCTTTGTAGTATGGATTTGCAATCGTTTCTTCTACTTTAATATGTTTGAATGTATTGTTGTTATTATTATTTTTTTCAGAGTATTATTTTCTTTTGAGAGTTATCATCATGAACCTGTATATTCTGTATGCTGGGGTCCTTGCCCAAAACTTTCAAGGAAAGGTAAATAATATCTATTTTGTCACTTATTTATTTACCATATTTTCTTGTGTACTTCTCCTCTCCAGCTTCTTAGCACCAGGTTCAAAAATTTAAAAAATATTCACCCTTTCTCAGTGCATTCCGAGAACCAGCTCTCCTAAAGTTTAAAAGGAAAATTTGTCCATGTAGCGATTGCTTTGGTGTTACTAAGAAAGACAAACTCTCACAGACTATCTTCAAAGGTCACATGGACCTTTCCTTTCTAACCACTGAACTTTATGCCAGCAGAATACAAAAATGACCCATCACGGTGGAGCAAACACAAACTGACATTCAGTCTACAATTTTGCTGAGTTGGTTGCGCATTCGCCTTCTCTAATTATTTATGGATGATTTGAGGCCTAAGCAATTGTAGAGATAACAATTAGAATGGGTGAGATTCAAGTCGCAGGGAAGTAGCAATGAAAATATCTTATCAGCTAGGGTAACATTAATATTACTATGTATTCTTATTGAAATGTAGGTTTTGTTCAAAGAAATAATATTGGGTTGGTTGCCTATAGTTTATCCATGATTACTTTTCATTTGTTAAGTTTGTACTGTAGTCCTTCAAAAAGGAAATTATTGGCATAATTTTCCCTTTTTTAATTTTTTGACTTTAAAATTAGTAAAGAAAAGGGGGAAAATACACAAATATTGCATTTTCTGTTTATCTTATGAGACATGGTGTGCATCAGATGTATTCTCTGTGGTTTCCTTTAAGTATCTGCTGAAAATTTATTTTACATTTCGAGTGTTGACAAGTATTGTTCTACTAATTTTTATGAAACAAATTTTGACTTTTCTTATGTTTTGAAAGGCAAAGATGTTTGATGTGATTACATTATTTTTTAGTGCTAAATGTTTTAGTGGTACTTACACATTAGCAGGCATTTTATGTGTCTAGCTTCCTTGCTATCCATTGCATGTAGCAGCAACCATAGAAGCTTTAGTGGGTAGTATTCAGGGCTGGTTGTAGTTTAGGTATAACCAAGATTGCAAATTTTTTACTTTCCCTGGAATTTCTGGATTTGTGAAATGTAGGCTGTGTAATCAGAATATGTAAAATCAAAATTTTTTCCAGATGTGTTCTAGAACAAATATATTCTTCTGAGGTAATATAAATTAAAAACTTTAAGACTATATAAAGTTCAGTGAGGGATCAAACATCTTATCTGAAAAAATTGAGTTTGTCTTATAAAAAAAATACTGCTTATATAAATATATATATTTGTCTTGTACAGAAATAGAAGAATCTGATAGTAGTGATTAACTACTCTAACTGATAGTGATAAAAACATTTTTTTCACTCACTTTATCTCACTCAGTCAAAATCTTACTTTTTTTTATCAAAGAAATAATATAGCAAATATAAAAACAAATTATGACAACACAAATGAAAGTATGTTGCTGCCCAATGTTATTGTTAGGTATTATTTCTAAAGAAATAATAACTATAAAAGCATGTGTGGCATCATTAGCACGCTATCAGAAATTCTAAAAAGGTGCTGTTTTTAAATATTTTTTGACTTTGCTCCTGAATGTTTTGTGGCATCAGTGTGAATAATAAAGCTAAAAATAAAATTTAAAAAAAAAAAAAAAAAGTGTTAGTAGGAGTGATTCCAAGAGCATATTGGTAACCTGTAATGCTCAGCAAGAGCACAAAAAACTTTAAAAACGTTTTGGTGTGTCATTAAAATCTGAATCCTTTTAAGTTGTCTTTCTCTCTAAATAAATTCTTAAAGCTATTATTTGGGATTCACTTCGACTAGGTTTCTGATCCATACATCCACACTGGATTCTGTTAAGGCAGGTAACTTTCCTCGAGCCAGCATCCAGTTTTTATTCTAACATTCTGTAGAAAAAGTTTTAGAGTTGGAAGTACTGTTAACATATTACGTTTTCACTATCGTGTAAAGATTCATTGTTTAAAAATTACTACACTCTTGATGTTTTTGCAAAACACCACATGCATGGAAATAATTGATGCTTCATCAGCAAGTCTAATTGGAACAAGTCTAACTAACTAAAAATGCAGTAAAAAATAACAAGAGATGGGGAAAGCATTGTTCCAAAAATTTTCCACAGAAAAAAGTTTCCAGAAAAGATGCTGCAGTATTATAGCTGCAAACTCCCACACTTTTTCAACTGTTTCCAATTTCCCAGTTATTAATTTTTTAAATTTTTTCTGAGGAAAGTGTTTTTGGTAACAAATGAAATTTAATGAATTGATAAAATTTAAATTGGCCAAATTTCATTTCCATACCCCTAGTGATTTTATTAATTTTTTTTATCTAATCTGACTTTTTTGTGCATTAATTATTATTTCTGCCATATCTAAAACTTTTTTCATCAGTCCATTATGCCTTAACATTCTTTAGAATTTTGCCTAGAAGGCTGGTTAGGTGACACCCTTAACTTTCTGTAAAATTTCATTCCAGACTGCTCTACTCTTGGCCTTAGTCATTCAGTTAATGACCGTTAAGTTAAACAAGATATTTAAAGGTACTTTGATAAATAAAAGCTTTTCTTTGCTGGGGTTATAAAAGTATAAGAAAAGTTAAGAAAAGCACAAAATAAAATTAACCAAATAATAGTAAGAAATAAAGTTTAGAATATGTAATTAAATCTTTATGTATCATAATTATGTTATAAATAGTTCAGTAACCTGAGTTGGGCATTATAAAAGGAATTTTAAGCCATTTAGAGCTTTTTAAAAATTGTGTGGTCCCTCAGTGCGAAAGTTTCAGAAACTTGCATTTTCTCATATTTCGAAATTAATAACCATGAAATGTTCCTTTACCTCTAATATTTTAATGTATAATTTAGAAATTCGTGACTTATTTACATAATTTTCAATTTACACTGGAAATTCAGGACATAGATGCTGAGAACTGTTTGTTTTCGTGGAGGATACATCCATGCAAATGAGCAGCTTTTAGAATTCGTCCAAAATGGTATTTGCATGTGTATTCTACGGTCCTTTATTCAGTCCTCCAAAATCTTAGCCAAGATTGTTTGTCTATCCTCTTCTCAGATGGTAGAGGAGCAAATATATTCTAAAGACAACCTGATTTGAAGATACGGTCTGCAGCTGATATTAACAAAAACCTACATAAGGAAATAACGTTATTGTAAGATTAGATTTGTGCTTTTACCCATTTTGATTGTACTTTTGTTTTTTATATTGTTGTAATAATTTTTGTTGTTTTATTTATTTATTTTATTGCAATATTTTTTGTTGTTTTATTTATTTTATTGCACTTGTTGTTTGTTAGATTTAAGAGTGGTAGACAGTATTAGTTAAAAATAAACTAAATTGTCACAATTTTATTTGTTGTGTTTAGAATTTCAACCTTATTGTTTATTAGTCTAAAGGAGCAATTTGTCCAGAAGGACTATTAATTTCGTTTTGGCATTTTACATCGGTTCACTATAAACGTTGATTAACTTTTCAAATTGTTGCCATCAAATATTATCGCCCTGTTTATATTTAAAGAAATTAATCAATGAAGAATCTGTATAAATGTATGGATGTTTCTTGCATTGTGATAAAATAGTGCTACCTAGAGCCATCCAGTTTTGAATAATGTAATCTTCCACCAAATATGGGCATCTGGAAGCCCTAATTTGCAATTTATTTTATTATAGATTTTATATTTTTAAAAACTTTAACGAATTTTTGACTAACAAATTCAATGATTTGAAAGTGAACAATGGCAACTCTGTTCGGGGGGGGGGAAGACATTTTTTGTCTCCAGCTTGCAAGGCTGTGTATTGAGAAGTCTAAAGGTATTCTCATTTTAAAATTATTTTGCGATATTGCTGTTGAATTGAATTAATTTGGTTTAAGTCCAAAGAACATAATAACACACAAAACGTTAATAAAAGCCCCTTTGGGCATAATGCAAAATCTGAAAGCATTTAGATTTTTTATTGTTTAATCTAATTTTTAAGCATATGTCTTATATTTAAGTGTTTATTTGTTGCATAGAGTTATAGATCTTTTAATTCTGAGTGCAATGGCATTGGAATTGTAAAAATAGCTCAGTTAGAACTTGACATGTAGGTAATTTCATTCCTGAGGGGCCTTGTCAGCAATTTGTGTTGCCACTTTGCAACAGTTAGCGATTTCCCAACTTCATCATTTTTTGGAAGTTTCACAAAAACTATTTTTGAAGCCCGATGCCCGATTCTTCCAGAAGTTTTCAGAGCAAATGCTGCATAGTATAAAATACTGATCGGAATTCATTTGCAAATCAGCTGTGAGATTTAGTGGTTAGCTGAAACTATGAGTTAGGATTTACCCTGAGAGTGATTTGAGAAACTTTGTAATTTATTTCATTTGCTGAATATCTGCATTTTTAAGTTACTTCCAGTCATTAATATTCTCTGTGTGGTTATTTTTCCTAATAAATTATTCATTTTTCCTGCTTATCTGGACTCATCCCAGGAAATATTCCTTCCTTGAAGTATCCTTAATAGCTTCTAGAGTTGCCACAACACTAGCAGGAAAATAGAGATGTAAATAGAAATTATTAATGGAACATGGATGATTACTGAGCTAAAGTTAAGTATCTAATGGCAACACTGTTCGGGTTTTATACAATAATCTGTTCTTCTTATACAAAGTTAGATTTTTAGACTAGGGTTAACTTCTTTATTTACTACAATGCTCTTTTTGTGTGTGAGTATTATTATTTTGAATTTTTCTTTAAATTTCAGACCATGTAATGAATGATTGTTCAGTGAAATAATAACCATCTTATCTCGTGTATTTCCCCTATTGTTACTAATTTTATGATCTAAAATTCGAGAGTGGAAAAGTTCTACGAATAATTCCTGAACAAGGGTGCAGTTACCGTGAGAACATGACAGTTGAAAAGTAGTCTGGATCTACAGGTATCTATCACAATATTATTTCTTTAAAAGAAACCTACATTCCAGTGAGAATACATTGTTAACATTACAGTATATAATATCTTCAATTGTACTTCTTATCATAATTATTTGGATCTATTAAATATCTTTATTATTTGGATCTCGGCTGTTCTTATGGATAGCAATGGCAGAGACAACAGTCTGTGCCACCTTCTAGGCCTCAAATTACATGCAAATAATTAGAGGAAGCAAGTGTGCAGCTATCACAGCAATTTTTATTGCCCAAAAGTCGATTCGTGTGCTGTGCTATGAGTCCGTTCTCATATTATGTGGGATAAAGTTCAACGCTAGAAGGGAAAGGTTTGAGGTCACCTCTGTAGACCTCAAGGTAGTTTGCGAGAGTTTGTCAATGCACTGAGGAAGGTGAAAATTACATGAATAATTTTAGAATTATTAGAACCTGGTGCTAAAAAGCTAGAAGTAAGAATATGTGAGGAAACTTGGTAACTTAAAAGCAATTGCATAAAAATATTTACTTAACATGAAGTATTTTATTCTAAGAAAGAAGAAATTGGTTTGACTGCTTTATATTTCAATGAATATACTTTATCTTTTTTTCAATTTTGTTTAATTTTGAAGTTGCATATCATGTTATATTCAGTTTTAAATTCATTTTTCAGATGCAGATTCATTTCAGATGCAGATGTGGTATGTGTATTCGTGTAGCAATGGTTCGGTTAATGTTAACCGATCCCATCCAAAGTCAAAAGCTGTTAACTTAGATGATCTGATTGAAAAGCCAGAAGAAAAGTTAGAAAAATCAGTATCAGAGATTTGTTGGAAGCCAGATTACACATGTGTAGCTCTTGGTACCCTCAAGGGGTAAGCTTTTTATCCATTAATAATTTCAAGTTTTATATTGTAAATATTCTTGTGCATAATAATGTATTACTAAAAGAATGCTTGAGTACTTAAATGTATATTATTTCTGGACTGAGTTAGTTTTATTGATATTTTTCAAAAATCAATAAAAAGATTGGAGGTGTCAGTTGAATTTTTTCTTTTTATTTCACCAAGTTTTCTTTATGGCAAGCTGTAATTTTATTCAATAAAATCAGGTGTAATATTAGCAATTTTAATTTTAAAGTAGATCCATATTATACCAGATCCCAGTTACTTTTGCGAGTTTGTTCTGGTGTTATGTTACTTTTTCTACGTTGATAGAAATAAACTGTTTTAATTGCCTTATGAAATATTCCATAAATAATCTGAAATATATGTATATAATTAAATTGGATTTATTTATATTATACTAATTTAGTAAGAAGTTGGTTTTTTTATTTTGGATTCTAGATATCTTAAAACCCTTCAATGTTTTAAAATAATCATATTTATTCCTTAATTCCAAAATTTATAATCTTTCAAAATTTGTTTTATGTTTTTCAAACATTTTATTTTGTAATATCAGTTACATTATTATTTAGTTCAATGCAGAGATTTTGTATAATTCAGAATCAGTTAGTTAATCTTTTTGCATTGTTTTTTTCTGGGCAGGGAGGTAGGGTGTTACATAATAGGCACCACTTAATGTGATCACATTTGTCCACTGCCATTTGAATGATGCTGAATGATAACACTAAACAGTAAGAAAAAATGCCTTAGAAAAGCAAAGGAATTTACCGTAATTTCCGGAAGAAAGGCCGCATCAGCGTAAACGCCGCACTCGAGGAAAATGGCGGGAAAAAATTAAAATTACACAGAAACGCCGCATCATCGTAAACGCCGCAATAGATTAAATTGCACGTGACATCGTCGTGGGCCGTATAGATGCAAAAACTCAACCTAAGTCCTGATATATGACATACCAGTTAAGAAAAATGCATGAAATGAAACCATAACTCAAAAATAAATTAAAGGTAAGAAATGTATAGCTTCTGTGCCGTTTAGAGACATTTTTAAAAATTTTCCGCTCGCTAATTAAAAACTATCCAACAAGTACTTGTACCCAAACTGATAGGATCTGTATTTGGCAGAATGCCAAGAAAAATCCATTCATGCTGAAGGGGAAATACGTCAGAGTTCGTTATTTCGAGGCAGGTGGAGTCGTGTCCGCCTTTGAAAAAAATTGCAGAAAAGGCAGGGGTGGGGAGAGGATGGGTCCTGGAAGATTCATCGAATGGCAGAGGAGAGAGACTATTCAAACTGATGAGAATGTTGATTTGAAAAGGGGGAAAGAATGTAAGAATTTGTTCTGAGATCTGGTTTAGGGTGAATAAGGCATGTATGTCCGTTCAAGGGAAAGAATGTAAACAAAATAACGTTCGCAAAAAGCAACTGAGTGGTCTTTTGTGTGGGAACAGCACCAGTGTGTGCACAATGACAAGGCCATCCAAACTATGTACAATGACCATTATAGGAAATATTTTATTTTTAGTGCACCTAAATGCCGCATGGGTAGAAACGCCGCACCCGCTGAAAATTTAAGTTTTAAACACGTAAACGCCGCGGCGTTTCTTCCGGAAATTACGGTAACTAATTTTATGTTAATTTAATGGGAACACACAGATATGTATTTTCAAACAGCATTTTAATTAGAAAAAGGCAGAAATTTGCTTTTAAACTGTTCACAAGGTCTTTAACCACTTTACGATCTTACGAAACCCCAAAACCCAAAATATTTTCTTTTTTTACCTCCAAAGACAAACATTTTGTATCTGAAACTGAAATATTTACCTTCCCGTATTCATCACCTGTCAGGATCTATTCAGAAAGCTTTCTGCTTGTCTCTCTACCCAGAAAAATGTCTTTTGTATTCCCTAGTCTCTTATCTGAAATTTAACAAAGATGAGCACACTCTCAAATGAGAAGTAGTTTCATTACAGTTATTAGCTGAACAGGGGATGGATATGCATTTCTATTTTCCATATTTTTAAATGAACTTAACCTTCGTACAATCTTGGTACAACATTGATGGGGAGAGAACGTGACCAATTAAGCTTTCATTTACCTCTTTTCATTTTCGTCACATTCTGGGGTTTCAAACACACGAAGCGACGAGTATTTCTCAAGGGTAATGATTCAAGCCATATTTAACCCCAATGAGTGTGTGATGTTGCCAACGCTTAACAGTAAGTTTCAAATTGATGAATTTTCTCAGGGAAAACTTTGAAGTCTACTTAATAATTTTATCTGTGTAATGCAAAAGTTCCTTTATGAAATTTTCATAATGTTTTTGGAAATTATTTGACTTATGCTGAATCCCTAATATTAGTACTTGGAGGGCATTTCTCACTGAAAGAGGAAGTGCTGATATAAAATTAAAAATTGGGCTGAAAAAGCAACCCTAGTGGATGTTTTCATGGATTTGTTTTCAGGAGGAGAAAGAAAAGATGAAAGCTCTTGAAGAAAAAGAACCCGTGTCTCAAAATCTGTGTCAAATTAAGGCTACTTTTTTAAATATTTAATTTAATATTTATTTATTTATTTCCCCCTGCTTAATTTTAAATGGGTAATTAAAATTAAAACCAAGCTGTTTAGTGACTTGATCCCTCACTTTGGGAAATTTCTCTGTTACTTGCCAACTTTTATAATCTAATTTGACCTTGTTTTTGACAACTTAACTGCAATTAAAAAAAAAAAAAAAAAAAAAAAGATATTCTGTAATATTTTGATCATATTAACCAAATTGTCAATCACAATGAGTGAAGTATTCTGTGTTTTTGTTTTCAAACGGGTGGAGCTTTGGCAATTCAATAATAATATCTAACTGCTGTTATATTAAGTTACTGTGTATCTATCTATATTTATGTGAATACATTATATTATATTATTACAGATTTATTGATTTTTTCACTGACTCGTTCACATTTATTGCACGCTTGTTAGTGCAACTAAAATCGGTTCACTGTATCCGTTGGCATCCAGAACATACGTATGCATCACCAAATGGTTCTCCTTTGAAATCATGGATTGCAGCTGTAGGTAGTGGTGATGATATTCAGATTTTTGATGCTACTGAAATTTTGAGGGGTAAGTTTTATTTAGTTTTATATTAAATTTTTTTAATGAAAATTAGACTTTTATTTTATTATGCTGATTATGTACTGTATATATGAAATTATTTTATGTAAAGTAATAAACTTTCTGTTGGATAATTAATGAATTCTAAAGAAATTAAAAAGCTCAGATTATTTTTTTAATTTTTCATGAAACCTGAAAACATTTTACCTCAACAAATAAAGCAGTCATCTCAAAGTCAAACTGCATAAAAGTCAAATGCATGATTTGAAGCTAATGGGCCTGAATTTTATTTTTAACAAAAGGAATTAGTTTTTTAATAATAAAATTTTTTAATTAATTTTTTATGTGTGTAGAAAAATACATATATTTATACACAGTCCAGTCACATTAATGTGACCACCACGTACTTTCCATGTCAGAGTTAAATAACCAATCACAGAAGGCAGGTGGCAGCACAGTGCAGTTGAGCGTATATAAAGGGTGTGTGAGGGCTTCGGAAAACATTTCAATCGTTGGCGTAATGCAGAAACTTAGCGATTTATCCGACTTCCAAAAGGGCATGATCATTGGCTTTCGGGCCAAGGGTGGAAGCATTTCCAAAACGGCTGAGTTTGTGAACTGTTTGCGTGCCGCCGTGGTAAAAGTGTACCGTGCATGGCAAAATGGGACTGTCCAAAATCAGCGACATGGCAAATGTGGTGCACCACGGGCCATAGATGACAGAGGCGAACGACGGTTGCGGAGATGCGTTCGGGCAGATAGACGGGCTACCGTTGAGCAACTGACCACCAAAATGAACCAAGGGGCTACCAAAAGTGTCTTCCAAAGTACTATTCAGCGAACATTGCTGCGTCTCTGCCTCCGAAGCAGACGCCTGGTTCGTGCACCTATGCTGACTGCTGTTCATCGACGGCGAAGGCTAGAATTTGCACGCCAGTACAGCAGCTGGACGTCCACTGAGTGGCGACAGGTTGCGTTTTCGGATGAATCGCGTTTTATGCTCCATCGGACAGATGGACGTTGGCGTATAAGGCGTGAAACCTCTGAAAGGAACCACCCTGCAACCATTGCCAGAACGGTCCAAGCTGGAGGCGGGAGCATTATGGTCTGGGGAATGTTTTCCTGGCATTCTCTAGGTTCACTGATCATTGTGGAAGGCACAATGGATCAATACAAGTACGCATCTGTCCTTGCGGACCATGTTCACCCCTACATGCGCATTGTTTTTCCTCAGGATGATGGCATCTTCCAGCAAGACAATGCGAGGTGCCATACAGCTGCCAGTGTACGTGCGTGGTTCGAAAAGCACCAGGATGAGTTTACCGTCCTCCCCTGGCCAGCAAACTCACCTGACTTAAACCCAATCGAGCATCTGTGGGACCATATCGATCGAGTTGTTTGCGCCATGGATCCTCAACCGCGTAATCTAGCGCAGCTGGCCACGGCATTAGAGTCGGCATGGCTCAACATTCCAGAGAACACCTTCAGGGACCTATGTGACTCTCTTCCTGCACGTCTCGCAGCAGTCCGCTCTGCGAAAGGTGGTTATTCTGGCTTTTGACAGATGGTCACATTAATGTGACTGGACCGTGTATGTAAATAATTATAAATTTTTTCTACTAATTTATAATGTAATAAGATAATTTCTACGTAAATTATCTGACCACAACTTCTAACTGCTTATAATTTTTATCTGTGAAAAACAGCTCATACTCCCAAACAAGGCAATTATTCTGTGATTATTTCTACATAAATTATCTTACCACAACTTTCAACTACTTAATAATTTTATGTATGTGAAAAACAACTCACTTACAGTCTATTTTCAAGCAATTAATTATTCTGTTTGCAAAAATTAATAATTGACAGTTTATATCTTTTTGATAAGTATGAATAAAAGGTTAAACAAATTTGTATCTTTGAATCTCTGAATAAGATTTATATCGCAATGTAAATTCATTACCTCCATTTTCAGATTTTGTTGAGCCTTACTCATGTTTCAAGGAACGTATAGCTCTTTATTTAGTTAGATAATAGCAGACTCCTCTTTACTTTATTGAATAATCAACGGATTCAAGTAGCACATAATATTTTAAATAAGTTTGTTTGAAGTCCTTTAGTTATTTTATTTATTTAAAAATTTTTTTACTTTTTATTTATTTTGTGTTGCAGTCTGTGGGTTGCTGATTATCTGAAATTAAAAATCTAAAAATGTTTTGTTAAAATACAATCTTGCAGAATTCTTGTACCTAAATTCAATGGGGAAAAAATCAAAAATTGAGGATACTTGAAAAAAAAAATTATGAACAATTTGCTGTAAACAATATTTATCAAATTTTAGAGTTAAGATAGGCTCAATAAGTACATGAAGTAGTGAAGTTGCTCAGTCCATAAAATTTGAAGCTAGGTTGTGCCACGTGTGGAAAAACACATTTTGAGAAAAAATGCGCTTAAAGATTTGATAGGGAAAATTAGTACTCTAAGTCATGACTAAGTAAATATACTACTGTATGGTATAAACTCCAAAATGCAGATGTCTAATATTGATCTCCCTCCAAAATTTAAGAATAATAAAGTAATAAAATAAATAAATAAAAAGCAAGTATATTGTAAAAACAATTACTTTATTCCTGATTAAGTGAGCCCACCAGCGGCCGAGCGGTAAAGTCGCTGAACACTGGTAGTTCGGTCCGAGGTTCGAATCCCGCGAACGGGCTGGCTGCATGGGTGTTTTCGTGGTTTTCCCCATGTGTAACGTGTATACGAGCCAGTTTCCCTTAGAAAGTCCTCCACGAAGGCATCCCTCCCCTTAGGCAGATAGCCCTAGTGTGCTTTGCCGTAATTAAATACACCACCTGATTAAGTGAAGAACCTGTATGTCCCCTTCATACACCTACTGGCTTGGGAATCGCATTGCAACCGTTAACAATACATTGATTGATATTAGCTGCAACCACACTTTCAGTCTCAGAGGTGAGGCAGCATTAATATTTTTTTAATCTCGCCTAAATAATAAAGTCCCAAAACATATTTGTTGAGTGGAATGTTGCTAATATTGCTTTCTTTCGTTGCGCAACAGTGAGAAGAGAGAAAAAAATTAGATTCAGAAGAAATTAAGTTGGGTTAATACAACAAATCGCACTTTTCCATATCAGGGTTCATATGGTCCATAAAAGTCCTTAGGCTTTTGAAAGTGATTTTTTATCCTCACTCATCTCACATTTCTGTCTGTTTTTTTACAACTGCCATTTTGAGTGTGAATTAACATTTCGGGGGAATAATATTTGATAATGCATTGACAGACTTGATGGGTTAACATTTGAATTCTTTCCTGCTTCTTAATATAAACGGTAGATACTTGAGTTTTAGGCACAGTTTTGCCTTGATTGAAACATTTGAAAAAAATTTCGTTTTTGCAAATGAAAAAACAATTTTTTCGTGTTTGGGATGTGAGTTCTTTTGTTATGTGGTGCAAGTATGATAACTTTTCGACATTTTGGCAATTTCGAGATCAGTTTGTATACAAAATTTTTTATTTGGAGATTTGCGAATCTTTTGATTATTTTTTTACAAACATAATAAAGTTGGTAAATATCTTTAATTTACCAACTTTATTCAAGTAATGATAATGTATTAAAATTGTATTTAAGAAATAACATTGAAATAAAGCATTTTTATTTTTTAAAGTGACGTACCTTTTCATTTTAAAGATTGAAGGATATTTTGATTCTGAAAAATAAGATAATAAATGCTATAAAGAACAATTTCCAAAACAGTACTTAGGAAAAACAAAAATGCTATTGTAATTATTTAAAAATTAACTTCATTTGTTTTCTTGTGTATTTTATCGTGATAAGAGTTTTTCCCTATGCAGTTGTTTCGGAATATTTAATTTAGTATCAGTTTTTCCTGAAAATTCACTTTACAGTTTTCTTTTTTTCTAAAAGTCTTCTGGATTTTAGCTCTTACAGAGTTGGTTGGGATAATTTTTCTTTCAGATTTTAAACATTGTACCTCGGATGGTTTAAGGCAAAATTTATACAGTTACTATTTCCAGAAAAATGTGATGAACTGAAAAGTGTCTTCATGGTAGCAACACATTATAAGAAATTTGTGATGAATTTCTTATCTTTTGAAGAATTTTAGGAAGAACAGTGAAAACAAGTTTATTTGAATATTTTTATTTTTGATCCGAGAAATCTTTTAAAATATGGTTGTCTTCCCTTTATTTTCTTATCTTTCCACTAGACACAAATATTGAAGCAATCAAAGATAGCAAAGAAACTGAAAAATGCCTTGTAATTAAAAGATTCGTCATATATGTCTAATTGTACCATAATATACCTCGGTACCTGCCCTAAGTTCTAAAAATTTTGTCATCCCTAAGTTTTGTTGCTCGGTGCTTCATTAAATTCTTAAAATTCCGCCACTCTGGGTCTAGCACCAGCCCTGACCTTATACAAAGTTCGTACAAATCTTAAGAGTCCTCAAAAGTCCTTAAATTTTTTGGAATCGATTTTTGATCCTTAAAAGTTCTTAATTTTGGCCAAAGTCAGTAGAAGGTCCTTAATTTTAATCATCTGAAATTTCAGTCTGTTTTTACGACTGCCATTTTGAGTGTGAATTAGCATTTTGGAGATTCACTGACATGTATGGTTATCTTTTGAATGGGTTCATGGGTTACAATTTGTTTTTATTTCTAATATAAATAATGGGATACTCGAGTTTCTAAGCAAGAAGTGAAACGAGCATTTCGAAATCCCCCCCCTTTTTTTTTGTAATAAAGAGCTCTTAAAATATTTTCGCTTTTGGGAATGTGAATTCTTTTATTAAACGGTTATTATATATAAAATGCCTTTATCTTCAGGGCAGATGTTTTTATTTTATTTGGCTTATAATTCCTTATTAAATGTAGTATTTCATCTCAATGTACCCCGCCTTTGATATGATTTAAATCAAATTCCTCGTCATTACAATTCGCTTTCGATAGCGGTCACTTTCTTCAAAAACAAAAGAATTTCGATTAACAAATTAGTCGGTATTCTCGACACAGCAATTATAGGACTTGAACAGCGGAACTTTGTAACTGAACAAGAAATTATGTCTGTTTATAAAATTAAAGAAAAAGTATTATCACATAAAAAACGAAGCAACTTAAACAACTTACATTGAAAGAAATGTTTAATAAAATAAACAAATAAATATTAAGCTTTTTTTTTTTTTTTTTTTTTTTTTTTTAAATTTTGATACCCTTTAGATCATAATTGTTCTTTGTTTCATAAATTACGGTTTCTTATTTATTTTTAATTTTATAATTTCTGCATGCCATCTTACCAGATTTAAACTGATGATCGATAATCCGAAATCGCCGAAGTCCCGACGAGTCCAGATTAAAGACTTTTGACTGTATTTAACTTTTACCAGATCAAGTAAACCCTCATAGGTACATTGTGGAGAGGTTGACAAGTTAGGAGATAAAGCACGCTAGTTGAGACAGATATCTAATTATTGTTAGAAAAGATGCTTAAAGAGAAGAAATCAATATTAACTAGCCAAAAGGTTTGGGAAGGCTTCAAATTAAAATGACGGATAAATATTTTGTTGACGGTTGTTCTTACAAAACATAAATGTTTTGTAGCTTTTAATGTATAATTATTCTAATATCCTTTAAGAATCAGTGTCATAAATTACATGTAATTTAAACTGTGAAATTTTATTAGATTTTGATTTTAATAGGGCTTTTTCAACAAATATTGTTAAAAAATAAAATTTAATAGTGGCCATGTAAATCCATAATGACTAAGATTACCTATTTACCTAATTTAATTATTTATAACTAACTGCTTACCCTTAAAAATTATCTTTGCAGATTAAAGCGAGTTATTGCCTTTCGTTAATACTCACTGTGGTCACAAGATAAAAGACAAAAATGTAGAAATTCAAGTAAAACTTATTCTTTGCATCTAGTGAGAGTTAAAATAATACAAAACAACTTATCACCTCTAGTGCTTTAATGGCTTATTGGAACCTGAAAGTATATTAACTGGGTTACAACCCCTGGAACTCTACACAAAGCTATGACACTAACTGCATCAAGCAGAGCCTGACTAACTTTAAACACTTGCCAACCGTGCCTACATCAGGCCTTTCAGGTTTGTTCTAATCAGCACGTCTCTCTCTAGACAAGCAGTAGCGTATTCAGTCTTTTGTTATGAAATGATGCTGATTATGATCTTACTTCTCATTTTAACCTATGCCGTTTGACATAAAATCTACCTGCTATTTACTAAACCTCTATACCAGTGGTTCTCAACCTTTTAAATAACGTGTACCATCTAAACAAAAATTGAAAACCTTTTAGTACCACCATTACTCTTGAACAAAGCTCAGATGGCATAAATTTACGAGTGATAGAGAGAGAAAAAACTCAATCAGGATGTTGGGGTACCTATTTTTTTTCTTGCTTACCACCAATGGTGCACTTACCACTGGTTGAGAACCTCTGCTCTAGACTGACCAAGTATGTGACAAAAATGAGACATGGAAAAATTCAATAGCATTTCAAGTATTGAGAATAAATATCATTTTATATTTATTCTCAATACTTATATTATCAACAAAATAAAATTAGTAGTTTCTTCTATACATTCTAAGGACAGTCATTTCTTTATAATAACAGAAATCTTTAATTAAATCTGAAAATTATAAAATGAAGAAGAAACTCATTGAAGAAGAAATAGTTTTTAGAGAGAAAACTATTCTTTAAAGGTGCATTGTTGAAACATTAACAGATAAGGAGATGGAGCAGAAACTAATTGGGCTTACTGATTTATTTTATTGAAACAAATAAATTTAGAAGAAAATGCTAAAGAGAAAGAAACTCATGTAAATTAGCTAAAATATCTGGAAAATTTTCAAATTAAAGATGCATATATATATTTTGTTGTTTGTTGTTGCTACAAAATATAAATGTTTTATAGCTTTTAATGTATAATTATGCTAATATAATTTTAGAATCAATATCATTTAACTACTATAAAATGTTCTTAGTGCTTTTTAATGGATATTTTTAAAAATAAAAAATTTTTAAATTGTGATTGTATCCATGTCAATCTATTATGACTAGAGGTATCTAATTAAGTAATTTGATTATTTGTAACTAACTGCTCATCCTTAGAAGTTTGAGATGAAATAAGGCATAAAAGAAAGAATCAATACAAAGCTAACTGTTAATAAAATTTTAATAAAAATCAATTAATCTTCTTGAAAGTATGGGGGACTATTATAAATGTAAAATAATTTAATGCTAATTAGAGAAAGTTTATGAAATTAATTTTACTCTTGAATTTATTTTATAATTGAGTTAAATATTAGACTGTGTTTAATAATATCTCATCTTACAGATTTATTTTATTCTTATAAAATAGAAAACTGAAATTCAGGTGTAGTAATTGCTTTAGTTTATTCAGTTCCAATTTGTTAGATAGGTCCTTCATTTTTTCCATTGATGGTCCTCAAAAGTACTAAATTTTCACATGCACAAATGTGTACGAACCCTATAATTTGTGCCAGCTTTTTCTTCTTCGGAGGCTTTTATTATTAAACTATAATATAAAAATTAAAGTGATTATGTCAAAAAGACTTTCTAATTCAGGTTCTATAGCAGGATCTGTGAAGAAAAAGCATATTGTCTACTTGCCTTTTATAGTGGTCTTAGCATGAGAATATGGCATTGTTGCAATTTCAAAAGCAGGTAAAAAGCAACCTCATTTCTTTAGTTTGGCGTAGATTTTGGATGCTGTGCTATACGAAATTTTGAAATTAATGGGATTGTGAAGAAAGTGGAAAATGATAACAAATGGAGATGAAATAGCAGAAGTTTCCACTTGCAATGACAATGCCCCAATCAGCTAACAGACTGTGAAATGTGCAGTATAGTTTTAAGTCCAGTGAAGTTACAAGTTCTAGGATTCTGAGATTTTTGGGAGTGAAAAAATTTTGATTTTTTAGTTTAGGTGACATTTTCAACTAGGCAATTACGAGAAATTATGCTTGTCTATAAAATTAAAGAGAAAGTGTTAGCTCAAAAAACAAAGTAGCTTAAACAGAATACATTGAAAGCAAAGTCTGTAGTACAAACAATTTTTTTTTTGGTAAATTTTAATTCTTTTAATGTCATAAAGGCTTCATTATTCTATAAATAACTATTTCATATTTTTAATTTTACAATTCGTGCATATGGCCTTAGTAGATTTAAACTGATAACCTAAACTCTGGAAATTTTCAAAATTCAGGCCTGACGAGCGTAGAACTCGGACTTTGTACTGTATAACCTTAATCTGCAATGCCAAGGACATGTGATGTGCCTTCTTGCTCTGCAAAATCATCCATTTGAGCTGTTTATTTCTGTTTTCAAGCTGTTCTTTGGACTGTGTTACTTGATCATTCCATGAATTGTTTCCACTTTTGTTCCCCCCCCAAAAAAAACTGTAATGAAATGAAGATCAGCATTCTCCAGTCTTGGTCACTTCCACCACAGGAGACATTAAACTGCACCTAGTGGCAAAAAAAGGTACTAATTAAACATTCTCTGTAAAATTTCATGTGTGGTACACCTGTCCTAAAAGTCAATTTGAACGGCAATTTACATGCGACACGCCCAGCTCTGCGGTGACATAAGTCTAAATAGAATAGTGCTGGATTGGCACGTTAAGTCACGGCTAACTTAAGTTGACTCAACAACAAAACCTAACAAGTGCGACAATTATCCGAAATGGCTAAGGGGGGCATACTAATGTAACATCGAATTAAGCAATGAAACGTGCGCTCTCTAGCGAAAACACGCTGTGACTAAACCCAGAGATTCACCCATTTAAATTCTCACTTCACTTAACTTTACATCCTGGCAAGGAAATGTGAGGGGAAAATGAGAGGTTCAGGAAAGATATCAAACTTAAAATAATTTGTTATGCAAAATAAGGGAGACCCTACATATATATCTTGCATAACTCAAATACAATTAAACTTTGAAATTTTGTATATGGGACTTCTATACCATGTAGTAGTACACCTCTCTTTTTTGTTGCAATTGGACTCGCCAAAACTATATAAATATATATGTATATTGCCACTCTTTTACCCAGCTCAGCAAGCTCAGTTTTTCAGTCTTATAGGTTAGTAAAACATGCATTTTTTTCATTAAAAAGAATTGAATTATGGTGTTCTTATGCTTTGATTAAGGTTTTTGTGCCTTTAGGTAATCTGCATGTAATAATTATAGAATTATCAAGAATTTAAAAATTTAAGAGGTGCTAAGCTGAACAAGGCTGACATTTGTTTGCATTTGATACTTTCAGTAGAATAGTGAAGTAAGTTAATTAGTGCACCAACTTCAGCATCTTTTTGCCCAGTGTTTTACCTTTTTTATCAAAAGTTAATTTACAATTTTGTGAAGTACACTGAAAATTTTTTCTTCCTGCCTGCTGGCCGAATTGCTTGCTTTTTAGAAAAACTAATTTTAATTGTAAAGAATTGTTGAAGTTTTAGGTTTTTCTCCTTTTTGCAGTTTTTAACGAAGATTGAGTTGCCTTGCTGCAAAGTAAAAACTGAATTGATTGAATTAGAAATGTATCTGTAGTGAAATTTGAGGAAATAAGTTGAAGTGATATAGAGAAAAAATGTGTATAATTTGATAGGTCTCATCTGTCCTCTACAAGGCACACATGAGATATTTTTCCTTTGTGATCGTTCTTTCAATTTTTACATTCTGAATTTCTTATTGGATCAGATTTAGCAAACTAAGCCTCTTTCGTATTCTTTGAAGTTCATTAAAATGAGATTTGATAGTGCATGCTCAGTAATATGGTAACTTGTGTTTCTCAAAGAATTTTTTTTTTTTTTTTTTAAGAACAAAATGAAGAAAAGCTGATCAGCAGGCCAACAAAGCAGTTAGTCGGTCACAGTAAAAATATTGAATCACTTAGCTGGAGTCAGCATATGGATGGTTATTTAGTATCAGGCTCTAAAGATGGTACAGCACAGGTGAGTTAATTCTTGATTAGATAAATTAGGAACTGCTAAAAATTTCTAACTTAAATATTCTTTTGCAAAACATTTATTTTACAAGATCTTTTTGACATCTTTAGTTGTTCTTTTTTCAGAAATTTCATGTTCAAACTGTTGTGTAATAACTTTTTTAAATAAATCTAATTTTCAATACTTTCATTTATTCTGAATTTAATTTCCAAAAAATAAGGTGTAGGTAAATTTTTGTACTCTGTTTTGTAGGTGGACCTCAGAATCTATGAAATTCAGATGCTATTAAAATATTTTATGTTAACAGTTGAACATTTAGTTAGAGAAATCTTTAAATAAAAATGTGTGTTTTTTAGCTCAAAAATCCCTTTTTCCGTTTTTGCTTATAGTGTTTTCTGTGCTTCTTATAATTTTTAGCATTACATTTATTTGTGGTAATCAAATCAGTTAACAGCAGAATTATTTTACATAGCTGGTTAATTGAATATCACAATTGAATAGATGTTGTAGTAATTAAACCATGAAGTAATTAGCATATTTAATAAAAGTGTTGATTAAAAGCAGTAATATTATCGTGATGTCTGTTTCACAGCGAAGTCGCCTTTGCATTCAGGCATAGGCAGATCGCCCGACTGCATACGTCCAATTTCTACCTGGTGCTTCCCCTCCCATCATGTTAGTGGTTGCCTCATTGGTTTCTGGTATAGTTAAATAACATGTCAGTCATTCTTTTGATGTGCCTAAAGTAGCTCTCTTATTTGAATGCACCTTCTGTGTCAATGTTTGGTTTAGTGCCAATGTTACCGATGCTTGCAGTTTCAATCCCGTCCTAAGGGGAAACGGCACAAAGATCCCCAAGAGTAGTAATCACTTCACTTGCATAGGTTATTGTTAATGCTGTAGCTTTCTACTAGGCAGGGGGAGGAGGAAATCCATTCCAACAGAAATTCACATGGACTGCTGTTACAGATATTTGAGAGGAACAGATTTTGCAGCAATAACAAAACAAAATTCATGAGTGTTTCTGACCTCATGCTTGATTTAGAATTTATTCAATCTTTAATTTAAAATTTATTTAATCTTTTTATGTAAACTTTAATGTATTATTTCATATTAGTTTTAAGATGATTCAGATATAGTTTTTTATTTTAACTTTTATGATTAAAAATATAAAACAAACTATGGAAACCTGTTGTAAAGCTAATTATAATAAATTTTCATTTTATTGATTTTTTGCTTTTAAATTTTTTGTCAAGAAGTGTAATATTCAGCCGCTACAATATAGGGTGGGGTGGGAACAAGGGATTAATGTACTTATAAATTATTCAGATTTATTTGTCCGAATGGACTGTTAATCTTGAAAGACGATTTTGCATTGTTTTGTTTTCCATTCTAGTCTCTTTGCCATTTACAGAACCATAAGATATTAATCCTTCATATTTAATCTGTCTGTGACAGATAAACAAACTAAACTATTTAAAAGCAATAGATGCACTTCTTAAAAATATTATTTCTTTTTTACTTTTTAATGCAATTACTTTAAATAAAAGTGCATTTATATCTAACTAATATATCTAACTAAACCTTAAATGTATTTATAATTTTTTACTTTTTCATCCAATTGATTTAAATCAAAAGACATCTAATTCTTGACCTATCTAATTAAAAAATTCAATGTTTTTATAGAATAACATTATGTATTTTTTCACTTTTTAAAATATACAGAAGATATGTAATGCATAGATGCATATTTATGTAATATATTATAAAAGGTTTCACTGTTCCAACTGAGTCGTCTCTGTTGATAACCGCTGCTGTTAAACCTATTGAGCCCTTTTTTGGGAGCATTAAAATCTGAAACCCTTCAGATTTTAATTTTTTGTGGGAAGTGTTTTTTATATTTTTTACTTGTACATCCTGAGCACGTAATGCATCGAAGAAGTTGCAAGTTGATGACATTATTATTCTTTACTTTGAAATTTAGAAAGTAAAGCAGACTGAAATGACATTATGTATGTCATATATAAATATTTATGTTTCAGGTATGGAATGTTTGCACTGGATCTTGTATCGCTAATTATTCATCCCATAGAGCAACTGTTTATGCTCTTCAGTGGAGTCCAACAGATCATGATACCGTTTTCAGTGGTGCAATGGATGGGTCTGTCCGAATATGGAAGATTTCAGAACAGATCACAAAATTTCCACCTGATAAAGGTATGTATTATTCAGCTTAGCTTCTAGCTTGAAAATCTTCTACATATTAATGTTAAGTTACTTGTGATAGCTCTATGATTCCCTTGTGTGCAGATTTCCACAGTGGCTATTCTGTAGGTGGCATATATGGATATGTCTTAATCTATGATAGAAGGACAAGTATAATCTTGTTATGCCCATCCTCCTTTCTGTACAGTCACAGCTTGCAGATGCCCACAAATGATTCTAAAGGATTTTTTTAAATTTGTATAACTTGACCCATGTTCTAAAATGCCTGCATCATTTCATGCATATTTTGTTGAGGGGGGTCAACAGTTTTTTACCCCATTTTGACAATATTTACAGTTATTCATTAGGAACATGGTCTAAAGAATTTGAAGCAAAAGTCTTGTGGTGGAGTAATTGGAAAGCTATACACCAAGGTTATTGCATAAACTTGATGACAAAATATGTCAGGAAAATTGTATTTTGATCCAGGTAGTTCTTCTGCAGATATGAATGGACAGGGTTAGGTAACAGAATCCTGCAGCATTTCCCATTCAGTGTTTTGGGAATAATAACTCGCAGCTTTGTGACTCAAACTTATGGCTTGATGCAAGGTAATATGTATGCAACCATCTCTAAGATGTAGAAAAAATTGACATTTATCAATTGGTTATGCAAGATAGCTTTTGCTTATTAGTCTTAATGGACTAGTGTTTTTCCATCCATGTATGATGTTTGAAGTTTCTGTCTATTATAATGGGTATTTTCATTATGTCTGGTTGTGAAATCTTAGACGGTGGTGTTGTGAAAGCAATTTAAATTGCTCTGATGCATGCAGTGCTCTGCTGTTACAGATCATTGCACATATACCAATTACAGATCACTTGCATGCAGGTGGTCAAACTGAACTTGTCTGCTGTATACTTATGGTACTAATTATAGTTTTGGTATATCGTACAGTAAACAGTGTGGCTGATTTTTAATTATTGGCATCTAGCATCAGGACCAAGCTGATTGCTTTCACTCAGCTTGGCCTTTTCCACATTACTGAAAAAATTTGGTGTACTGATTGTATATAGTAAATGCATATACAGTTTATTGCAGCTGTTCCTGATACTAGTATTGCATGTTAATTCACCATTGAGCATTTTCAATGTTATGAATGTTATGACTGATTTTATCCAATTATGTGAATTTTGCAAATTGTGTATTTATTAATGCTGTACAGTTTGGTATATCAATTTTATCCAGTATGTATCCAGGCTTGCGATTTGAAGTAAACAATTTGTTTGTTTTCTGTTGCGAAATTATTCTAATAAAGGGAAGGCTTTGAAAACAAAATCAATAACGATCTTCTTATGCTGAGCTTGTTCATTGCTTTCGTTAAACTTCAGAGAAATCAGAAATTAATTTAAATATTATAAAACCACTTATGTAGTTTATTATTTAGTTTTAAATAAAGCTATTTAAATATTACAATTAAAGTAGAGTTAAATATAGTGCTTATTAAACTTGCATCATTTTATTCACTTTGATAGTTTTTTTTTCCATAAATTAAAACAAAAATAAACCTGATAAATTATAAATTAAGATCTGGTATAGATTATTTTGAAAATATATTAAAACAAGAATATATATTTTGACATTTTTTAACTATATCAACACTGTGATATAGTTAAAAACGATCAGTTCATGACTGTCTCTTAATGGGAAAATGAGCCCACCAGCGGCCGAGCGGTAGAGACGCTGAACACTGGTAGTTTGGTTCGAATCCCGTGAACGGACTGGCTGCATGGCACTTTCATGGTTTTTCCCATGTGTAATGTGTATACGAGCCAGTTTCCCTTAGAAAGTCCTCCACAAAAGCATCCTTCCCTTTAGGCAGATAGCCCTCATGTGCTTTGCCATAATTGAATAATCCCAATCCCTTAATGGGAAATGGTTTCTTTTCTTTAAGAATTAGTGTTGCTTAATATTTTTCAAAGCATGCATGGGAAATTTCTAGTTTTTTTTTATTTGGATGCAGCTTCTGTAAATGCAGACTGTATATTGAACTGCTTTGGAATCTCATGGCATAATATATTGTTTCACTTAAAGTATCTTAGAATTCAATTAAATATGTATATTAAGATATATGCAAGAACTTTAATAGATTGCACAGACTGGTTGTGCTGTTTTGCAAGAGTGTATTCTCTGAATTACAGATAAGAAAATGCAGAATTTCGGAAAGAAAAAAAGCTTTATTCAACTAAGTTGTAATAAACAACAAACATAAAAAAATATAACTTTATTTAATAAACTGTGTTTTAAATACATTGAATTGTTTCAGATTTCTGTTACTATATTTTTACTTCAACTCAGTATTTAATTTTAGAAAAATTTTCCTTAGTTTAAAATGGTATGTATCAAGTGAATTAAATCTCTATATTACTTTGAAGGATCTTTTTTCAAGGAACTTTTAAATATTGTCAATTCATACTGCAAATGAAATTTTTTCATCTTTAACTTTTTAAAGTAATGTTTTAGCACATTATTTGTGTGGAATTTTTCCTACATATCTACTATTTTATCTATTCCATCAGAAAGAGAACTTTGCCAACATATTCCCAGGTTGTGGAAATTCTGACTCTTTCTACTGGAGTGCTCTGCTGATTGATGTGAGAAGGCACTTAACAAATATGTTATTTATTTGTCTTTAATGCTTGATTTGTAAATATCGAGCCACTCCCACAAGCAACAGAAGCTCAGTTTTCTTTTGTTAATCTTAATTGTAATTTTAAAACAGATTTTCTTTCTCACATCAGATTTTTTTTTTTTTTTTTTTTTTTAATGTTAAAAAGTAGTATAAAATATACTAATATAAAGGAGAATGTGAACTTTTGTAATACAGTGACATCTCTCCTCTTATACTGTAAACTTAGATAATGTTAGTAATAATCTTTTAATAATCCTTTTTTTAATCATGACCCCTTTTTATCACTGAGATTTTTTCACAACCCCCAGGACCCCATAATATTTACAAAAATTTTGTGGGACCCCATAAGTATTGCGCAAATCCAACACTCGCATGAGTGAAACTGTCAATTTTTTCACTTGTACAGTAATATACTATTGCAGTTTTAGATAATTAACTTTCTAATTTAACATAGAACAATGTGAAAAGTTTAAAAATAAGTGGTAGATGAAATGACACCATTGCATGCAAAGCAAGGAAAATGAACATTTATATTATTAAAAGAAAGCATTGAAACGTTTTCGTTTTTTTCTTTGTCTGTATTGTCTTATCTTTATCTATTTTCAGACACATTGTGTAAAAACAATTGCTAACTGTAAAATTATTATAATAAGTTAAAGAAATATCAAAACTGCTAAAATTTTTGGCGACCAATAGTTTAAGAAAACCCTGTTTTAAGATAAAGTACCAATAAATATTTGAATTGCTTCCATAATTTATAGTTGCGAGTTCATATAATAAGGTGAAAGGTGGGTAAGGGTGAAAATTTGTCTTAATGTGAAGTTGCTAAGCATATTTATGGTGTAGTTTAATAAACAGTATACCATATCGTTTCCTTTATACCAGTTTTATCATCTAAACATCAAGAGGGGGGGGGATATGCAAATCATTTAATTTCTGAAAGATGCAACTGCAATGAGAACATAACAAATGAAAAGTAGTCATAGATAAACTACAGGCAACTGTCACAGTGTTATTTATTCATAAGAAGTTTATATTGAAATAAAAGTACACAGTAACATTGACATTATGATATCTAATAAAGTATCTTCGTTTTTCCTTCCCTGTAACTCAAATCTTGCCAACTCTTTTTTTTTTTTTTTTTTTTTTTTCTTTTTCTTCTCTCTGCTACTCCTTAGGTCTCGGATCATTCATAAATAATTAGAAAATATGAATGTGCAGCCGAGTTGGTGAAGTCGTAGACTGAATGTCGGTTCATGTTTGCTTTGCCACGATGAGTCAGTTCTTATATTGAGCCTGTATAAAAGTTAAACAGTTAGAAGGGAAAAGTTCTTGGCATGACCATTGCAAGTACTTTGCTAAAGTTTGTCTTTGTTAGTAACTTTAAAACAATCACTACTCGGCAAATCCATCTTAAATTTTACAAAAGCACATTCTCTGAAGCCATTGAGGAAGGGTAAAATTACGTGAATATTTTTAGAACTTTGAGAATCTTGTACTAAAAAGCTGGAGGGGGGAATATACAAGGAAATAAGGTATTTATATTCAATTTAACCTAACAGGTTTTATAAGGTTAATTTTGTTAACGTGAATGCTATTGCTTTTTTAATAGCTGTGCTGAGAAGAAGGAAGAATGTGAAGAGAGCAGCCTCAGCTGCTGCAAAAATGCAGCCGAAAACTGTTGAAGAGAATGCGGAAGTAGTTCCAGAAACGATAGATGTCAAACACGATGAAAAGGTAAGCTTGTCATTTTCTATAATTTATTTAGATATGTACTACATTGTATAAAGCTGAAGATAAAATTCAATTAAATAAATTTTAAAAAAAGATTTCTAATTTTATTCTGCTTTGCAGTAGAATTAAAATGTAAATGAATGAATACGTGCAAAGGAAGTAGTTGATTTTAAAACTTTAAAAGTAGTGTAATTAATGTAATAATTACTTCCATATACAAAGTAAAGGAAATATTGTAATTGTGAAAAATTTTGATTATCATATTTGAATGAAAATATCTGTTATGATTGCTCTCAATTCCATTTGAACGTCCTTTTTTTTTTATTATGATTTTTATATGTGGTAAATTGTGCTTTTTTTTTTTTTTTTTTTTTTTTTTTTTTTTTTTTTTTTTTTTTTTTTGAGGGGTGGTGGCTTTGTTGTGGTTGTGCCTGTAGTTAATCTGCATGTAATAGTTGTAGAATTATCAATAATTTAAAAGTTTAAGTTGCACTAGGCCTAACGGAGTGGCTATTTGTTTATATTTCAATAGTAATAGTATAGTAAATCAGTCAGTTCGTGCACTAAAATCAGTGTCTTTTTGCATAGTAGTTTAAATGTCTGTACTCTGAAAATTTTGTTTCCCTGCTCATTGGACGAATTGTAGAACCTTCAATTTTAATTGAAAAATTGTTCTGTAAACTGTTTTTAACTGTATCTAGTGTTTTAGGTTTTCCCGTAATTTACAGTTTTTAATGAAGATGTTCTGAGTTGTTATATTTTAGCTGTGCTGCCAAGGGAGAACTGAAGTGATTGAATGAGAAATGTGTCTCACATCAGATTTTTTTAAAAATGTTAAAAAGTAGTAGAAAATATGCTAATATAAATGAGAATGTGAAGTTTTGTGATACAATGACATCTCTCAGATAACAGTAATAATCTTTTATATATTTTTAGGAGTCTGTTTCTTCTATCAGTGATGCTGAAAATAAACAAGGTAAATTCTTTTACAATATGTACTGTAATTTGTTTTTGTTTTGTTTCATTCAATGTCTGTTATTATTTATTGGTAATTTAAAGGTATTGACAGACTTCATTAGTTATATCTTATGATTGAAATATATTTCTCCCTCTTTGTGTTGTTTTGTTGTTGTTTAAAATATACATTTCAGTAAAAACACTTGTTTTAACATAGCTACCACAAATGTTCAAAGTGCTCTTTTAAAATTTAACGTGGTTTATCATTAAAGATGGCTCAGGTGTAATAACAAAACATTTATAGTATATTAGATGAATATGCATTTAAACTACATGAAAACCATATTTATCTTCTGTCAATCTGAAAAGCGAAAAAAAAAATATGTAATGTAATTCTATAAAAATATTTAAGTAAATAGGCCATGAATTAAATGCATTTTATTGAAATCACTCAGATCCAAAAGTAAAAAAATAACTTTCTTAAGAATTCCATCTGTTGCTTTTAAATAGCTTAATATGTTAATCAATAATAGATAGATTAAAATGAAAGAATATCTTACGTTATTTTGAATAGCAGCAGACTCGAATGAAAAGTGAAACAAATCAAAATCATGTTTTTAGACTAATAGCCCTTTTGGACTAAAAACTAAATAATTAACATTTATATTTATTATTATTAATTGACATTAAAATTATTTAGCATGAGAGATAAATATAATTTTATAAATAATGAATTTTATGGTAAGTAGTTAAATAATAAAATAAAATATTGGAGCTCATCTTATCTGCCTGGAAACTCAAAAACTAAGAAATAACTCAGCTGGGCTCCGACTGAATTTAAGGCCTGAATATACAATTTAATTACTATTTCAAAGGATGATAGAAACAGACTATTATTTTTCCAGTATAGCAGTGAGAAAAGGCAGAATGTTCACTAATGGGAATTAAGAGACAGAGCATGAAGGAATTGCATGTAACAGACAGTGTAAAAGTATGAAAACAAAGAGAGAAGAGCCCAACACATTGTGACTACGATCTCGTGCCAATATAATTCTAACTTTTAACTCTCTGAGCGGCCAGGGTTTTCACTAAGAAACCACAAATTTCCCAAAACTACTATGAGAACAATTTTTTTTTTTTTTTTAAATGTAAAAACTCTTCTGTTATTTCATACCTGGATTTGTTTTCTTTCGATATATTGCCTTAATTTCTTTGACATATTTTAATATGCACGTATATATATACAGTCAAAAGTCGTTAATCCGGACTCATCGGGATTTCGGCAATTCCCGATTATTGATTTTTCCGGATTATAGATCATCAGTTTAAATCTGGTAAGATGGCATGCAGAAATTACAAAATAAAAAATATGAAACCGTAATTTATGAAATAAAGAACCATTATGATCTAAAGGGTATCAAAACTTACAAAAAGAAAAAGCTTAATATTTATTTGTGTACTTTATTAAACATTTCTTTCAATATAAGTTGTTTAAGTTGCTTCGTTTCATGTGATAATATTTTCTCTTTAATTCTATTAAACAGACATAATTTCTTGTGTAGTTACAAAGTTCCGCTGTTCAAGGTCCTAGCGAATTATAATGACGAGGAACTTGATTTAAATTATATCAAAAATGGAGTATATCGAGATGAAATACTATATTTAGTAAGAAGTTATAAGCCAAATAAAATAAAAACATCTGCCCTGAAGATAACGATAGTGCTGACAGATCAACGTCAAATTTAATCCCCCCCCGGCCGCAGAGCAGTGTGAAATTGATAAACAGATTTGAGATTTCAAAACATACTTTTGCTTTGTAGATCCTTTACATATTAGTAAATATATATCCGAAATTCTATTTGACATAATCGAAAGTTCAAGATTACTTTTATAAAATTGCTCTAACAGTCTGCAAAAAATAATAAGCCAGATCCAATTCGAAGATTAAGGAACAACACAATCTGCAACATTAATTGAATTAGATAATTTTAGCTTAGCTTATACCGTCCGTTATGCATTAAACGTGCATGCGTAAACGTATTATGTGCAAACGCATATTCGCAGCCGTAAAGGTCTTATGCGCACGCATAAACGCCTATACGCCGCACGCGACGCGTAAACGTCAATGCGACGCATGCGCAGAAAGTTTGTAGCTTTGAGGTCCGGATTATAGATCTTTCTGGATTATGGGTGTCCGAATTAACGACTTTTGACTGTATATACATGTTTACAGATATCAAAAAAAGTATTCTAGGTTGTATATATACGGCCTTGCCGCTTAGACGGTTAAACAGACTATAACGGGGAAAAATTCCACTGGAGTCTGTACAGGACTTAAAAGTACTTAAAAGTCCTTAGCTTTTTTGGTCCATAAATGTCCTTAATTTTGGCCAAAACTGGCAAAAGGTCCTTAATTTTAATTATCTGATATTTCAGTCTGTCTTTTTATGACTGCCATTTGAGTGCGAATTGACAGTTTGGAGGAATATTTTTGGCAATGCATTGACAAATATATATTTGATGGATTAACATTTGAATTCTTCCTACTTCTTAATATAAATGGTGGATACTCAAGATTCAGGCATGAGGCCGTGCCTTGATTGAAACATAAACATTTCGAAATAATTTCTTTTTTTGCGAATGAAGAGTGCATAAAATATTACATCAAAAACAGTTTTTTGCATTTTTAGGATAAGAGTTCTTTTATTACACATGCTAAATTTGGCGACTTATGAACATTTTGGTGATTTCAAGGTCAGTTTGTATACAAAATTTTTCATTTGGAGATTTGCGAATCTTTTGATGATTTTTTTTTACAAACATAAAGATTTTCATAAAGATCATAAAATAATGATAATATATTAAAATTATATTTAAGAAAAACATTTTTATTTTCTGCCTTATTTGAAAGCAACATTACTCTTCATTTTTTTGAATTAGGAATCTTTTGATTTTCAAAGACAAACAAGAAAACAAATGGTACAAAACACATTTTCTGAAACTTTAATGTAATTGTTTCAAAACATTTAAATGTGCATCACTTAATATACACTTGTTGCGTACGTGCTATCAGCCTTCTACTTTTTACTTCAATCTTTTATCAGATCGTAACTGAGATAATTGAAACGCCACTCAGTTAATTGTACAGCTCTTCTAATTCAATCTATGCAAAATCAAACTACAGTACCTGTACAGTAGACAAAACAAAGCCACAGCATGTACAAAACATTGTAATCCTTTTTTATGATTATAATGCAATAAATTATCAATAATATAATGAACTTTTAAACAGTTGTTATCAATAAATGAATTTGTTTGGCTAAGACCATTGTCTTTAAAAAAAGAAAAGAAAAGAAATATTTACTTGGCCATTGTCTCAAAAAAAATTAAACAATTAGTGTTATAAATATAAATTATTCATGCTCAATATTTTATTAGTTTTTAGGTCTGTAAAAATTTGAATTGAAATTCTAGGATGTGTTTTGAGAATCCATATTCATCAATCTAAAAGAACACAGTTTTATAGATTTTAATTTTGTAATTATTTTCTTGTGAATTTATTTATGTTTGATTTATGTATTTTTCAGCATTTGCATTCACAATATTAACCTCATTCCTAGAGAATTCTACTTTATGTTCTTTTTTCATGCTTTGCAGTTTTGCAAGACGGATGTGATATGAAGAATCAAGGTTTTAAGACCCCAAGAAGCTTGAAAAGTATGCTTATTTTCTGTTCTTTTCTTTTGTATTAAATGAATAAAAATATCTGAAGCTGTGACTGTTAGAAGGGAAAATTTCCATTTCAACTTTATATTTTTATCTTATTATCTAGTCCATGGGTTTCGAATGGAGGTGATGAAATTTTAAAGGGGTTGAGTGATGATAAAGGTATGAATTGGGAGTTGATAGCCAAGCCATTTGATCAACATAATCAAGATCACGTTGATTACAAACAAGTTATTGATAGAATTGATAATTAATTGTTTATTGATATAAAGCTGTTTCATGTAGTGAAGAAGAAATTATATGAAATAGATGAAGGGGCGAGGACACAGAAATTATTTAATATATTTTAAAATCAATAATATTAAAAATGTATATAAATTTTTAATGCATTAAGTACAATATGCAAAGCAAAATCTGTAGTCAAGCCAATAATTTACGACAGAAAACAAGAAACAGGTTGAATACTTTTGTATGAGAGGCTCTACGAACCAAGTGAAGCAGTTTTGTACCAAAAATTTTAAAATATTGCATTAACATTAATAAAATTGATCATTTGTGCAGCTAGACTCTGTGATTTTGTTTCTGAAAACTTGATTATATTTGTAAAATTAAAAACAACGATAATACAAAAAATAATAAAACATAAATCTAATCCATCACTTTTTTTCAAAGTTTGTGTTCACATTCTTAGTTTAATTATTACCTTTACTTGCATATAATTATTTGTATTATTATGCTGTATTATAGAGAAGAATGTAAGGTGTGGATGAAGAAAACCATTCTTTTAAAAGGGGAATCCCTTATCTAGTCATTTTATCAAACATTTTTGTTTTAAAGATTATTAAAAATAAATCACCATTCATTTAAAAAGCATTCTTTAGTCCTTAATTCCTTAGCGCATAAGCCTGAATATGAATTTGGCAGGCATTAAAATTTGTACTACTCAAATATGCATAAAATTGTACTTGCTAAATGTTTTCATAAACTTGTAAAGACTGCCAAAGCAAGAAATGTGTTTGTTTCAAAACAAAAAAATAGTCAGATTAAAATTAAAAAAAAAAAAAAAAAAAAAAAAAAAAAAAAAAAAGGTTGTGTTTGTTGAAGTAAACCTAGAAGTATGGGGTTAAGAGAATGGTCCACTTTTTATTTCATTATTTCACCTTTTAGTTTTTATTATGTTGCAAGTTTGTAATTTTTAAATAAAGTTTCTTGTTTTAAATTAAAAAAAATATGCCTGAAATTGCTAACTTTTGAAAATTCTCTAATTTGCCATTTTATGGTTCTGTTTGGGACTGAATTATTTTTAAAATTTTATTTTTATTAAAAAATTAGTTGTAGATCTATTCATGCTTTTAACATTTTTAGCTTTGATTAATACTGCTTCCAATATTTGTGGGAATATCATTAATAACCATTTTATGAGATATATCTAATATTATTGAAGTAAATGCTATAATTTAAATATCTTAAATAATTTTCTCTAACATTAAATTTATTGTTTCAGTTGCAAAAAAGCCTAAATTTTTTCCCGTGCATTCGAAGGGTGCGCGAGGCAATATGGAAGAGGATCTGCATGTGTGTATGAGACTTGCTGATATGCACTATAATACTTCAATGGAGGAGAAATCTGACAATAAAAGCACCGTAGAAGCAAATGAAGCTATCAGTTTAGGCCTTTTTACAGACAGGCTTACTGCCCTTCAAATGTTTGATCAACAAAGTTTGTATATTTATTTCTTTTTACATTTCATTGCATTTGTCCATTAATAGGCCATTTTATTTCTTAAAATTTTTAAATAACTACATGTATTTATTAATCTTAACATAAATAGAATTCTAATTCTCTGATTACAACTCGGAACAACTAATTGCCTTATTTCTTCAATTCTAAGAAGCACCTTATTTCTATCCTACCAAGATTTTGATAGTAAGAAAAATGCAGTAAGCATCGCTTAATGTTATCACATTTGTCCAAGCCTATTTTGATAGCATCAGCCAAATGGGAGTTGCGTATTATCACATTGACTGTGAAATTGTAACCAAGCTGCACAATTTAACATTGCTTATAGAAAAGCATTGCATCATAATATATTGATAATATCTGATCAGGGAAATTACAGCTGGATATTACTAAGAAAACAATTGATTTAGCTAACACCTGCTGTAAGTTTGTAATTATAGTGTCCTAAACAGAGTGGAGGGCTTAACAAAATAGTAAATATCCATGAAAGCCTTTTTTTTTTTTTTTTTTTTTTTTCCCACAAAAATCAAATGGGTCAAGTACTTCACCAATGGCTGTATGGTGCATTGACCAATAATAGATAGAAGTGTGGCTAGCTTATCACGCAGGAATGATTGTTGCAAGTTTGATGAGATCTCCACTAACTTTCATAGTTTTATGGTAGCCAGCTTTTTACAGGTGACAGGCTAATATTTAAATACCACTGAATAATAACTTGGGTGAAAAACATTGGAAGCAGATCACTTTCTTGGTGAATTATGTACCATTTGAGCATCATTCTGGCAGCTACCAGAGCCAGTTTTCGCAGCACCGGTAAGATTGTCTTTCAGAAATGAAAAACAAATTTCCACCATCTTTGGTTTCTAGTAACCTTCAGAATACAGAGAGCAAGACTGGCATGTTCTTGCATGGAGCAAGAAATCATCTGTGCTCTCGGAACGAAAGTAAATTCTGCCTCATGGTTTAGAGAGTTTGTTTTTCTGTTATCACCTCCAATTAAAAAATCTGGTAAGTGAAACTTTGTAATCTTTAACACATTATTAATTAATTTTTTTTAAATGTATGTTTACTTAACATTTTGTCATATGTGCTTGTTAAATTGAGAAGAATTTATGCAATGCATTTTTAAAGTTAAAAGAAATCTATCGATACTTTTTGAATCATGTTATTAATGCATTATTAAAAAAATCAAATCGAATTGTTAAGCTTTTCAACATCATTAGCAGCATGGAATGTTCTAAATATAATGATGTTTCACACACCCCTTTTTTTCACACACTTTGTATTGTAAGAATAAGTAATCAAGCCTCCTCCCCTCCTTGAAATTTCTGATTTTGTTCATCTTTGTTCATCCCCCCCAATTCTCATAGAAAACAAAATCTTTTTAAACTTTTATTTCTTTTTAATAAATGCCTTATTGGTCATTTTGCAGTAGCGATTTAAAAAAAATATAAAGAAAATTTTTAATCGTTCATCTAGGCTAACCATATCTACGAGGCCCATCCAGGAAGTAGATTACGTTTCCGTCTGTGTCTGCTAGGGGCGGGGCTAGCGCGGCCATCTTGGGGTCAGAGCGTTGCGCAGCTCAGTCTACATCTAGCCGTGCTAGTGAGAGGTTCGTGCTGTGCTCCGTTCAGATACTGTGACGGTTGAAATGTCTGCGTTAATTGAAAATCCCGCGAGCTGCGAGGTGCGCTCAGTAATAAGGTTTCTGACTGCAAAAAACTGTAAACCGATAGAAATCTATCGGCAGCTTCGTGAAGTGTATGGGGACAACATTATCCACTGAAGGTGGAGTGCGTCAGTGGGTCATAAGATTTCAAAATGGCCGAACCAATGTTCACGACGAAGATCGAAGTGGGAGACCCAGCATAGTGACCGCCCGCCGAACTTCTCGAAAAAGTCGATGCTAAAGTCTGTGAAAATCGAAATTTCACAATAACGGAACTTTCTTTGAGTTTTTCCTTTCCACAAATTTCGCGAAGTTTGTTGCGCAACTCATCAATCGCGAAAAGCTGGTTACCACAAGTTTTGTGCAAGAGGGATTCCAAAAAATCTTGACAGAGGACCACAAAACCATCAGCGAATGGCTGCAGCGTGAACTTTTTGGACGCTTACCATAAGGATGGTGACTCTTTACTCGATCGCATTGTTACTGGTGACGAAACATGGGTGAAACATGTGAACTGTGAAACGAAATTGCAATCAATGCAGTGGGGGCACACAGTTCTCCCCAAAAACCCAAGAAATGCATGCAAACAATGTCGGCAAGGAAGATGATGGCGACTGTTGTTTTGGGACAAAAGGTGTAATTTTGGTGGACTTCCTGGAAAGAGAGGCACTACAATAAACTCTCAAGGTATTGCCAAACTCCAAAAACTCAGAGAGCAATTCAAAACAAGCGCAGAGGAATGTTGAGCTCTAAGATCTTGTATATTCACGACAACGCCCGGCCCCACACGGCAATGTCACTCGTAAAGTTCTTGAATCTTTTAAGTGGGAGTTGTTTCCTCATCCGCCGTACAGTCCGACCTGCACCGAGCGACTTCCACCTATTCCCAGCAATGAAGAAGTGGCTGGCTATGCAGCGTTTTGATGACGACGCACAGCTGCAAGAAGAGGTAAGGAAGTGGTTGAAGGCGCAGGCGGCCGAATTTTTCGACGAAGGAATTTCCAAGCTCGTACATCGCTACGATAAATGCCTTAATTTGTATGGTGACTATGTAGAAAAGTAGTATTTGAGTGTGGCTTTCATCTGTATATAATAAAAATTTGTTTCCTATACTTTGTTTATTTTTTTATTCCAAAACGTAATCTACTTTCTGGATAGCCCTCGTACAGGGTAAGTTGAAAAATAAGTTTCCCCTGTCGACTGTGGTCAGAGTTGTGTATGAAAGTCAAAAAATAGAATGAGACATTAAAGATATGACATACCTTTATTTTTCCACATAGGTACCTAGTACATTGAGACATTTGTCATATCGCTTGATAAGCTTCAAAAAGCCCTCGAGGAAAAAATCAGGGCTTTGCATATGGAAGAAGCGTTAAATGGCTTGTTTCACTTCAGTATTGCTTCCAAAGCGCCTTCCCCCGAGATTTTTCTTCAAAGCCGGAAACAGATGGAAGTTGCTTGGTGCGAGATCAGGACTGTATGGCGGATGGTGTAGGCGCTCCCAACCAAGAGTTGCAATATGGTTTTGCGTTACCGTCGCCGAATGTGGTCTGGCATTGTCATCCAACAGCAGAATGCCAGATGTGAGAAGGCCAGGCCGCTTTTTCCGAATCACATCTTTCAATTTCGACAGGGTGTCACAGAAGCGCGTAGCATTGATGGTTCCTACCTCCAAAAAGTCCAGCAACAAAACTCCTTGGGCGTCCCAGAAAACTGTGAGGAGCACTTTACTTGCAGAGGGAGTTGTCTTGAACTTCTTTTGGACAGGTGATGACGGATGTTTCCATATGCAAAGCCCTGATTTTTTCCTGGAGGGCTTTTTGAAGCTTATCAAGCGATATGACAAATGTCTCAATGTACTTGGTACCTATGGGGAAAAATAAAGGTATGTCATATCTTTAATGTCTCATTCTACTTTTTGACTTTCATACACAACTCTGACCACAGTCGACAGGGGAAACTTATTTTTCAACTTACCTACGTATATATGCCAGAATGTCATTGATTACTGTAATTCAACTTTTCATCTTTTTCAAATTTTACATAAGTAACTTTATTTTAATATTATCAGTATCATTTAATGTGGCTTCTTCTAAATTTATTTATTATTATTTAATAATACTTTAGAATTTCGGGTTATTTTCTTTGGCATACTCATGAAACTAATTCTATCAGTATGATTACATACCATCACAAAATTTAATGAACATATTTTTACTATGCATGCTGCTAAATAAATATAAAATACTTGAATTTATTTTAAAATATTCTTAAATGGATTTGTTTACTCCTTTAGCTGTAAAATATCTGCAAAAAAGAACTTTTTTAAATCCAGATTGGCTAGATTATAATCTCTGTCTTCGATCTCAGTGAGCCCATCATTGCAATTTATTGAAAGAGCTCCTAACATGGCAGTAGTATGGGAAGCCACAATCGTAAGCCACATTAATAATGTAAAGCATAAAAAGTTCATTTTTAATGAAGATGAACTCATAATTTTTTTTTCCCCCGTACTCATAAAAACAGTTCTGAAGCACAGCAATCTCCGGTGCCAATTGCTGAATAATCAAATTTAAACTCCTTTGTAACTAAGGGGCAAAGAGTTAACTGCAGAATTATTGTGGGCTATGAAGTTTGTTCACAGGTTTCTTTTAATGTGTATAATGATGCTGCTTTTCAAACATAAAAAAGATGCTCATTTTTGATATTGAGAACACCGAATTTTTAATGTGCTTCAATGAAGCTTTAAATAGAATTCTCCTGAGAGTTGAAATAAACCTTTTTGTTAGATTTTGGGACATTGTGAGAATGAAGTGAGCACATGATGTCTCACATCAGTTTTTTGTGCATGCTACTGCTGATAATCTTCTAAGAAGTTTGAGAGAACTTCAGAACTAGATTAAAAAAAAAAGCTCCAAGTACCATTGGATGAACGAAATGTCAATCTTAAATTCCTCAGAGATTTAAGAGAAAATTTAGCAAATAATAATGACTGTTATATATTAGATATTGAACTCTGTGGTTTGCATGTCATTTACTGTAGTTTAGACCTGGCCATAGAGCTACTGACACGAATCTTGCATTATTTAAAGACATGCATAGAGTATTTTAAGATGGCTCTGCTCGACGAACGTTGCATCACTAATTGTATAACTTTTCGACTAAAATTTTGTGGAGTAAGATAGTTTGAAAACATACCTGTTGCTAAGAGAGCTATTGAATTTTTTTCTATGTGAAAAAATATATAGAACCATCTTAACTGAGAGAGACTGTGTTAGTTGAAAGACTGAGAGAAACTGTTCAAAAT